GGTGCTTAAACCAATAGCTCTACACCCCTGGCCGAAATTTCCATAAAATTAAGTCTGACTTCAAAATATATCTCAAATAATGTATGCACTGTCATTTCCCCACGTAAACATAACAGTCTGCAATGAAATAGTTGTCTCGTGTTCCACTTCCTCCTTGGTGCATCGGTAACTTTCTAAACAAATAATAAAGTCAGGAAAACGGATTTGTTTCTCGTGCACGAGAAACAAATCCGTTTTCCTGACTTTATTTGTTTTCTCTCTTTTTTTTTTTTTCCATGTCCCTTTAGGGGCTCCGTAGTTCTCTGACACACCGGGGACACATATTTATGTATAAAAGACATCACAAAGTGCATTTTGCATGATAGGTCCCCTTTAAAACATTTGACGATACATTAAAAATACATCATATATTGAAATAAAAATGTGTCTACTGATGTTATATTACAGTTTATTTAAGTCATTATGCTTTTAATTTACAAGTTTAAGCTAAATAAGGAGTCTTTCAATTCTTAAAACAATGTTATTGACCCTTAATCCTGTGTTTATTACTGCAATACAATACAAAAACACACTCTATTAGTAATATCTACAGTCATTTGAAGTAAACTAAGTAAAACTTAATGACTGATTTTAATTAATGACTGATTTTAAATGCCATTTTCTTAATGTCTTTCATTTTTTGTAAAGCACTTTGAATTGCATTGTGTTGAAAAGTGCTATATAAATAAACTTGCCTTGCCTTGCCTAACACATTGACACATTAACATTTGTGCACATAGGCTATGTGTTAGGGTTTAAAAACAGAATGGGGTATCTTTAGACACTGGTACTTCTTGGCGTTGCTCTGAACCAGATTGAGAGCTTCAGTGTGAGAGGAGGGAAACTGAGAAAAGGAAAGTTGATGAAGAGGGAGAGAGTCTCATGCAGGACAGCTGACAGCTGGGTTCAGCGGGGGTCACAGGTCATGGATGGCAGCAGTGGGGGAGTGAAGTGGAATCTAAAACAACAGGAAGACACACACACAAACACACACACACATGCACAAACACACACACACACATTTCCGGGAGAGGTGGTGAGTGTGGGCCTCCGGATCTCTGGTGTGACAGTTAACTAAAACTTAATCAGGGTGGTGTGAACGCTTCCTCCCACATATCTAATCCAGGAGCTTCCACTATGTGTGTGTGTGTGTGTGTGTGTGTGTGTGTGTGTGTGTGTGTGTGTGTGTGTGTGTCAGTGACCACATTTTTATGTATTTTTTTAGAGTAAGTCAACAAAGAAAAATAAGGACACAAATGTATCTTTTAGGGTGTAGTTCAACCAAAAACAATATAACTTATATATAGGACTCACCCCACTTGGCTCTCTCTGATCCAAAAAATGGCATGGAGAGCCCAACATTAAAGTATATCACTTCAAGATGAAAGCATATCTTCAACAGAATCTAAGTCTAATTTTATTTGAATGAGCCCACAAATGAATTTTAGTAACTTGGATAGTGCTGAACAGAAAAAACATTTTAACATAGTTTGGAGCTTTTTCCATTAGTTATTTTTTACTACTAATCTATACTTTCATTTGTAGTCAGTCCGCTCTCCTTTACTTCTCTTTGCGAAAAGCATTTTTTTCTAGGACCATAGTGAGCCTGGTAAAGCAAATATCTACCATGTATATCATTTTCCACAAACTTTTGCTTTAAGACTTTTTTCCTGATATCCATAATAGTCCCAATTTGATTTCATCAGGAGATATTTTTGCATGAAGTCATTCCTCATTCCATAGAGATGTGTTTTTCATTAATTCCTCCATTTACACAACTATTTCTCTTTCATTACCTCCACCAACTTGGGGTATCAGTGCAGCATGGTAAATGTAACATTTTTGGAGAGGAAACTGCCCTCCAATCTGTAGTCAGAAGAGGTGTGCATTGAGAAGTTTCCAAATGTATTCGACTATCCAAACAAGCACTTCTTCCCAGGTGTACTGGCCCTTTAAGAGCACTGCAACCTCTGTGTCACCAGGAAGAAACAATACTTAATCATCAATTAATGAATACAATCTGGATTAATAGTTTATTTGTGTAGCATTTCCACATCTTCATCAGTTGATTCCTGGATAGCATGTGTCACATTTAAAAATCTATAAATGGATTTGACTTGTATTTCCTATTTATTTGCTAACTTTCATACGTTTTGAATTGAATAATGTATTTGTATTATGTTTGCTTGTTTCAACTTTAATGGAATGATATACATACATTTCTCTTGGTTATTTTTACCTATTGATATAAGGATTCTCATATCACTGTCCAAACATAAAGACTGATTCCACTGGGGCTCGAACCCAGGACCTTCTGCGTGTAAAGCAGACGTGATAACCACTACACTATAGAACCTCTGGAGAAAGTCAACGGGGTGGAAGTGATTGGATAAAAATAAACAACAAATGAGAGATGAGATTGACGTTGACAAAGGGATATCAGTTTTTGTGGGAATGTTGGAAACACTTTTACACCTTGATCTCATGTCCCGTGCTCTGCTGCCCTCTGGTGGATCTGACGAGTCGTCAAATAAATGTGGCGCTTCAACAACACAAAGGCCTCGGCTCGTGATGAGGAGATACTTCACTGAAGTAGCAGCAGAGGCAGTGGAAAAGGTACTGAGAAAAAGTAGCATCAGCACTGTCACTGTCACTCATTACATACATTCATTCAAATCAGTCCACTTTTACCAACTCATACCAGAACAGCTGAGTCATATGTTTGGGGGTGGGGGGGTCAACATAGATGTGTCATGATTCTGCAAAGTGTTGTGTGTGGCTTTAGTTAAATAAATGATGTCATGTTATTTTGCCTGCCATATTTAACACACCGAAAGTAAAGCAGTGTTTCAGGAATCCAGTATATGCCCGGAAGCTGTATATTACCCATCTGTATTGTATTGTAACACATTTACATACCACAGGCACAGCCTGTTAAACAAAAGTAGCCTGATCGTTTCTCACTTACAGATACGTTACACAGGGATACATGTACTCAGAGCAGGGACGCCGTAAGGGGGTGAAAAGTTAGGACGATTCTAAGGGCCCGTGACTGACAGGGGCCCAAACAATTTTAGAACATTAAGAAAAAAAAATGTAAGTAACCAATGTGATATATTTTCATGGGGCCCAAAATCCCTGGCAGACTGGCCTCAGAGGTGGGAGAAGTACTCAGATCTTGTACTTAAGTACAATACTAGAGTAAATGTACTTAGTTACTTCACACCTCTGCATGTACTTTCTGAAACAAGAAGGCCATAGTAAGCTGCTGAGGTAGGACTTTGTCTACTGTATATATTTATTATAATTAATTATTTAATTAACCTTTTTTAATTTAATGTTATACGGTCACTTATATGTTTAATGTGTTATTCAATCTAATTATCCTTGTTTGAACTTAATCTGTTCTATCCTGTGTGTTGCCCTTTGTTCTGCTGTTCAGACACCTGAATTAGCCTACTACAGGAATTAATAAAGGTTTCTCTAATCTTTATGTTATCTTGCATGTCTAAGGGGAATTACATTTTTGTAATACTTTGATTTGGAGGATTTGACTCATACAGATGCTTCGTCAAACCAAACCTCGGTTCGATGCAGCAGTGGAAAGTCCTGGAGGTGTTGACATGTTGCCTGTAAATGACGGTGAACCCATGGGTGAACCACGTTAATGGCGCTAATGATGGAGGTGGAGATGCGCGCGGCTGCCGATCGAGGCGCTGTTTAACGAAACTCAGCCTGATAAACCCGCAGCAGGCCCTGCTCCTGTCTGCCCGTCTCTAACCGGTGTGTCTCACTACTTCCAACAAAACATATTCTGTTCGGCTCGAATAGCAAAACGCATCCTGGACATCCGTGTTCTCAGATGAAAATAACCGGGGGATGTTAGAAGGGGATATTTTAGCGAGAGGTTTCAGAAAACGTGAAATATTCCCATGCACAGTCATAAAGAGGCTCGTGTCTGTTCGCCTCGTGCTTAACAGTAACCCAGCCGAGCTTCATTCTGCAGGGGAGGAAGTGTTTCTGTGTTGCGACTCTGTCTTTCATTTCCGCCGTTTTCCCATATCACACCGCCTCCCGGTGACAAGAGTGAAGAGTGTGGGGGGGGATTTCTTCTTCACCTGAAACCCCCCCTATACCCACCCATGTCCCCACTGATATATCGTCTCTAATTATACAAATCTCACAAATCCAATACACCAAAGCACAGCTCCTTCTGCCCGGCCGAGGAGCTGCAGTACTCTCACCGTGTGTGTCCCCCCCTCCAGTAACCAAAACACAGCACAGACGACGTTTAAAGTGCCATTGAATGTTTTTAGACGAGCGTTTGTCACTCACTCACACACACTCTCTCACACACGAACACACACACACACACACACACACACACACACACACACACACACACACACACACACACACACACACACACACACACACACACACACACACACACACACACACACACACACACACACACACACACACACACACACACACACACACACACACACACACACACACACACACACACACACACACACACACACACGAGCCCCTATTCTTGTGGTGGCACACACGCTCATGAGACAGGGACAGCATGTAGGGAACATGTTCCTGTCAGGACCCAGGACTCAGAAACACCTCCAGGGATCAGGAGAGAGGCTCAGTCCCTCCGTGGCTGGCTGAACTTTATATCGAGCTTGCATTAACACTTTGTGGCCTGCTTTTTTTTCCTCCACTAAAGGCTGGACTGGAAGACTCCATTTTGAAGGGACCGGGTGTGCAGAGACTACACAGCAACTCGTCTCAGGAAAGGAAACCCATCTGTTTTTCCGGGTAGCCTGCTGCACAATTTCTCTGCCTTTCCGACGTGTTAGTGGAGGACATTTTGAATGACTTCCATTTATTTATTTCGTCTTATTTAGTGTGCTGACCAAGTGCGTTTCGAGGGGGTTGGTGGTGTATGAGATGCCAGTTTGTTGGCACAACTTTGGCATGTGACATGTTGGTGATGGCAGCCTGGTTTAGGTTAATAATTGATGCTGGTAATTAAGAAGAGGGGCGGGGCCAGTTTTTAGAGGTGTCATGTGGACGTCTGGTGTGTTTTCTTTTTTATAGGTGGCTGCCAGCTCAGATTTTCTTAGTTTTTATTTCTAGGAAAAACGATTTACGGCCCCTTCTGCTCTCTATGCTGTGGACCGGCTGGGAGGGAGGCAGTGGTGACGCCTGGCAGTGCGCACAGAGAGAGGGGCTGACTTTCAGAGTATGCAGGCAGGAAACAGCCATTCAACAGAGCAGGGATGTATACACGGCGAAATATAAAGTAGTTATCTCAAAGCAGAAGGGGGAGTGTCGCTGCCTGAATCTCTAATTCCAGGGGCCGCTGGACCAGGCTTTAGCGCATGTAGAGAGAAGGAGGGAGGAGGAGGGAGGTGCAGGGGGCAGTGAGAGAGTACGTTTCACAGGATCCGGGCCTAGTAGTATTGCCGCTGGGACTCTCCTCATCCGCTTTCACAAAATTGGAAATTGGCACATTTAATGGGCAAAATGAGCGGGTTGAGGGTCATGTTTGCGCTGAACGACAACAGAATGGTAAGATTCTTGCGACGGATCCCGTGTCATTTGGCGTTTTCTCCGTGATTCTGTTGTTTGATGCACACATAGCCTGCATCTGTCGGGGAGGGAAGTGTGTGTGTGCGTGTGCGTGCGTGTGTGTTGGTGAACTTGTTTTGTGTCGTCTCGTTGTATTATGTAGCGTTAAGTGTTTCTCTTCTCGTGCAAGCATGGAAGCCACTGCACGCAATGATCGACACACACAACACACACATGCAGTGGCACACACCTATGCACACGCGCGTGCACGAATGGGTCCATTTTAATTCCAGTTGGTGGCTGCAGCCGGCTTGTTTAACGACGGGTAGATGTTATAACATGACACGCTGTCATTGATCGTCTTTATTCTGTGAGTCCACAATATGCACGAGCTTACTGGCTGATGACCTTATCGTGTTGATGTCATTTTCGTCACATCGCGATAATTTTCCTCAAAGGCTTTACAGCGGCTGTTGTGATGTTTTGCGCAGAATCTCTCCCAAATAATGTCATATAAGGTCGACCCGCTCTTTGTCAGTGAGTCTGTTTACGTTGTATTCTAATGATCATCATGTGAAGCAGATTGGGTTGTTTTTCACGGATTTCAGGTCAGAGCTGTGTCGCTTTTTCTTCAATATATCTCATCACCAGCTGCTTGGGATAACTTTGATCAAGCTGCAGTGATGTAACACAGATTGTAGGGATATGCTGAGAAGAAACATGGATGAAGTGTACTTTCTTTGAGGATAATAATAGGATTATAAAATATACCATTAATTAAAACAAATGTCAGTCTAACAAGCTTTAGCAACAATTTGCAGGTGTTTTAATAGTCATCCAAACTTAGATTTTTTTAAATCATTTTTTTGGTATGCTAACAATTCTCTGTTTGTGTCACAGGGAGGAACCATGCCAGCATGAGTGGGCCTCACCCAGGCCCTGGCAGGGAGACTCATCAGTCCGGCTGCCCTTTGACCCCCGGGCGCGACCTCTCCGCCTCCAGACACCATGACCACAGGATCGGGTTAAACATGTCTGCCTCCTCCCTCAAGCATGCATCCATGTATGGGTTTACAAAAACGGAGCACTCCTCCTCTTCCTCCTCTTCATCCTACAGTCCTCTGAGGAGGCTGCAGCATCTCACATCCATGGTGAGCCAGCCGGACCTGGTGCTGCCGGTGAGGGAGCCGGAAAGGAGCTGGGAGTGGGGGGGGAATAAGAAGGAGAGGGGGAAGGAGATGGAGACGGACTCCTGGGCTGACTGCACGAGCGGGGATTATTCTGGCAGCCAGAACACAAGCAGGGAGGAAAACTATTGTGGCTCTTCCTCTGGACCAAAACAACCTGTGGTCCAGAGTAGAAGTCGAGACATACCTGCAGCTCCTGACGTCTCGGAGAAAAAGACAGAAGGTCTGTTCTCAGGTCCGCCCAGCCCGGCCTTCTCTCTGGACAGCAACAGCCCCTTTGCTAACGGCTTCCTCCACTTTGAGTCCTCTTTGTTTGAGGATGACGATGAAGAGCAGGAGGCGGTGTCCCCTCTGGACGGAGGCTTGGATAAACACGACAGGCCGGAGAATCTTCTCCCATCCACTCCTGGAAACGTGAATTCAGACTCCAAGGATGCTACCCTGTCCTCAGCCAAGGTGGTGACCCGGTCCCAGTCCTCGGGTCAGCGCCGGAGATACTGGGACGGCTCGGATGACGAGTGGGAGAGCGGCTCCGAGCTGCTCCTGCTGGACGATAGTCCCACAAGGCATTCAATGGCAAGTTTTCCAGTTATTACTCCAAGTAAACAGATTTTCAGGTTTTATTGTCACACCGCCATCAGGTAGACATTAGTTTTCAACTTGGTGTGACACAACAGGGCAAACTTCACTATAAGTGTATTATAGTATAGTATAGTATAGTATATACATACATATAGATGGACACCATTTCATATCCAAAAATATGATAAGTTGAGAGGATGTTTAACATTGTAAATCTGGCTCAGAAAGGAATACTACTCCGAACTGGAAGTGTTGATCCCTGACTGATTAGGTATAAAATACAAGTACACACTAGCCGCGTTCACACCGCAGTACTTTTCCCACTTTAGTTCCGATATAGTTCAGAAATGTCGCGTTCACACCAAAAAGAGCCGGAACTAAAATTAGTTCATCAGAACCTTTTTACCCCCTTTTCTGTCCCTGCTAGAGAGCAGATACTTTCGTGGGAGAAAAAGGTTCCTATTTCTGATTAGCTCGGCGGATTGCAAACCACGCCCTGTAAAACTGCCAAAACGTTTTGTGAAGCCACCATTTTATTATGTACAGCAGCTTCTACTGAAGCCAGTCCCCAACTCCGGGGACTTCCGACCGGGGACTTCGGGTGGCAGTATACGCCGTGAAGTTGTTTGCGGCCTGCCAATAAACCCGAAGAAGAAGTGACTTCAGCGGCTTTATTTGCCTAATCCTCCCTCAGGAACTTATTCCGGTGTGAACGCGATCCGTACTTAGTTCATGAGAACTAAAGAGTTCTCATGAGTCATGAACTAAGTTCTCATGAACTAAAGTGGGAAAAGTACTGCGGTGTGAACGTGCCTACTGTCTACTAAAAGACTAGAACTTATTTACCATGTTGCTGGATTACTGTAAATACTGAACACATGCACTGTTTTTCACCAGAATGTCGCTCATTGTGAATAATGTGTGGGCTCAGAGATGTCAGAGCTCCACAAATGTAGCTCGGTCATTGATAAATAAATAAATACTCTCTTGCTTATTTTTTTACAAAGAACTGAAGGTCAGCTTCTCTAGAGGTTTTCAAACTGTGAGGAGAGCTGAAGGGTGAGACTATGCAAAATGTGAAAGGCACAGGTGTGAACAGAAAGTTAGTTATTGTGGATTGAAAGCTGATTTGGCCTAATCACCTATTGTCAGACTCAGCAGTATCAGACAGTCAGCTGCAGAGCGGCAGTTAATGGAGGCAATGAAAGTACCTGAAAACCCCTTAGGGCCTGATGGCAAAAATCACACCTCCTCTCTGAGTAATAACTGTGTCAGATCTCAACACACAGACATGATAAACATGTTTTTACATTCAGTGTGTCTTAGCTACGCTACGCAAGCATCTTTTCAGTAAATATTCATAAAGCCACTCAGAAATCATAGACTTTCTTCAGTATCAAAGTAATCAAGTGATCATTTTCTGTACGCTGCAAACAGGGACTGCTAATTGCTTATTCTGCACTATTTTAATGGTATGAATTTGCTGAAATGTCAACAAACATAGGTGAAAAGAAGGGTGCTTAGAAGATGAAAATGTTTTACTTCCTGTTTACATTCCCCAAAGCTTTATCGGAAATGTAGTCCAAAAACATAAAGCATAATTATCCCCCAAATAAAAGTTATACAAAGATTATTTATATGACCAAAATAACCATTTAATATAAACTTTATGTGTTGCATATATGGATATGTTTTGTCAGCGCTGAGGCTACCCTCCACAGGGTTCATATATTACCGCAAACGACCTGTAACATAATGCTTATTCATTGCCACAAGTTCTACTTTTGTTTCTCTGCCTCTTTTGGGTGCAGATTATTCACACTAAAACGTGGCACTGCTCAGGAGGTGACACTAAAGCCAAAGCAAAACAACAACAAATAACAACTTGGATGCACCTGTTTTTGTGAATCAATGTTTCGTCAAGTTCCCCAGGATAACAGCTCACAGATCAATCAATGTTAACACAGCATTTTGACTTGTTTGAGTAAGAAAAGCCTTGGTGTTGCTAAAGACATTAGTGATGGCTTTGTTCTATTTAATGCCCCAGTAAACATGTGTTCTCAATTATGTGTTTGGTTGAAATGAGTAGAACAAAATGTTTTAAAGTCATTTGACTCCTCTCACAATGAGTGCACGAGCACAAGGGCCAGATTATTTTGGATGCAATACAGAAAACACAGACAATTAAATGACACAACAAGCGCAACCAACACACCTGTAGCTCTTACTGGGTCAGAACACAAAACAGTATCTAATTTGTATTTGTCTTATTGTAATATTCTGTCTTTATCGTCATGTTGAACAGCAGAACAGCCTCAAGAAAAAGGCTGTGCCATCTCTGAAGTTCTTAGAGGGTGAAGTTATTTGGGCAAAGTTAAACCGAAGACCATGGTGGCCCTGCGAGGTGACCGTTGACCCCGCACAGGGAATCTATCACAAAGTGAAAGGTGGGCCTGAGACATTGTTGACTTCATGTGATTGCCTACAATGTACAAGGATTGTTTCCCTTGTGGTACACTGTGGATTGTTTGGTCGCCTGTATAAGACATCAGCAGCTGTAGCATAAACTGATGGGTGATTCAAACTACACAAAAAGGATAACAAGATAGTCTTAGATTATAATTTATGACATACATTGGCATGCCAATTGCCATATTTGGTCAGGTTACCAAGTGGAGGAACCACGATACCAGAAAACATCTAATACAATCCTTAAGTTAGATTGTAAAATATAGAATTAAAGTCTCCCATTTTACCTTTTGCTATCAAACATGGAATTTTACTAAATTTAACTCATTTTTCACTATACATTACTTTTTAATCATTTGTCAATCAGTTGCATCTATAGTTGCAAAGACGGATTCATACATTTATTGTTTACTATTTAAGAAAATGGCCAATTGGTTTGACTGATCCCACTGATTTTATAGTTTCTGTACTTGTCTTTGATATTCAATTAAATATCTTGGGCTCTTGCAAACACTCATTGACAATTGCTACCAATTTCTGACTTTTTTTATAGACTGACTATCTCATTGATGCATCAATTAAAATAATAGTTTCTTGCTGTCCTAGTTACATCAACCTGTACTGTTAGTTTTCTTGCATTTTAAAGCTTCCTTTGCTTAGTTCCTGTTCAGAACAAAGTGGATTTAATCTGAGTATGATGAGATTTAAACTGATGTTTGTTGTTGTCTTAGAGCCCAGTGACCGGCCCAGTCGGCTCTACCATGTCAGGACCTTTGGGGAGCCTTTGGAGCTAACCTGGGTGGAGGAAAAATCAACTCACAGTTTCCACGGAGGCTTTGAATTCGATCAGCTCCCCCTACTGCGCCGGAAAGGGAAGCAACGGGAGCAGAACTACAAAAACATTGTAAATACTTCTTCTCGGCATGCCCTAATAAAAAGTTGGTCTAAAGCATCATCATTGCTTGGTTATCATCATGTTGGACAACAACAATTATGTTTTCAGACTTGGTCAGGAATAACTAACATTGCAATAAACACATTATTCTTTATACTGCTATGTATGAAAATACTGAGCAGTGTTTGCCTTTATCTTTCCGTAGATTGCAAAGCGTTTACAGGACTCATGGAAATCCAGTGTGGCAGAAGCTGAATTTGTTGTCCAAGCAAGACACCAAATGTCTTCTTCCTTTCCTTCGTTCATAGACGATGACTTTCAAGACAGTTTCTCACCGGAGACAGAGCGCAAGGCCAATCCAACTTTTACTCCCTCCACTTCACCGACCCTTCCTGAGACTTTCTACATGACCAATGGGTCCATTTCACCCCCAATTACAACTCCAGCAAAGCCAAGCACTTTAAATAAATCATCTGGAAAGAAGCAACCAAGTAAATCATCAAAGGACAGTTGTAGTAAACACTCCAAAAAGTCAAAGATATTGCGTAATAGTCCTGACCAATCAGAGAGAGACAATGGAGAGTGCCCATATTCTGACATTGACTCTGTCCCTAAGATTTTGTGTCCTAAAGCACTTGAACGTCAGTCTAAGATTACTCCAACTCAGCCACTGGTCACAATTGTTAAAGAAGTGAAGAAGCAGCCAGAGATTCAAACTGGTCTTTGGTTCAGTAAATCAGGCAAAGACAGACGACCTAAAACAACCAGTTCAAAGTCGGACCGCACTCTCTTCAGTAAGGTGCCCTGTAAGAAAAAAAACTCATTTGCAGCAAGTAAAAAGTCAGTACTTCCTAGTTTCTCCACCTCCAGTGAGCAGCTGGGGTTTTCAGACAGGCATAAGACTCCTGGTGAAACAAAACTGTCACCTGAACAGCCAGTACATTTGAAGTGTAAAAACACTGTGATTGCTAACAAGCCGTTTGTAACAACCAGCAGTACCCCTTACAAGTCAAGTTTGTCAGACAACCGTAAGACTCTGGAACCGGCTGAATCAAATCTGACAACTGAACAGTCACAACATTTGAAGTGTAAAAACACATTGGTGGCTAATACGTCTTTGGGTACAACTGCGAGTCCCACAGAGCATTCATGGTTTTCAGAAAAGCATAACACTCTGGTACCTGCTGAAACAAATCTACAACATAAACAGCCAGGACATTTTAAGTGTTTTAACACAAAGGTTGCTAATAGGCCTTTTAGTACATATGTCAGTACCAATGACCTATCAGGGTTGTCAGACAAGCAGAGCTCACTGGTCTTTGATACGTTAGACGTGCCCTTTGATAAGTGTAGATATTCAAAGGATAGAAAGACAGACTGTGATACAATTGAACCTGTTACAGTCTTACCATTGGATCAATTGGGTAGGTCACATGTTAAAAAAAACATAAAACCCAGCCCACTCATTTTCAATGATCAATCAATGTTGAGTGTAAAGACAGTCAGTCAAACTCCACATTCAGACACAATTGCTAATTATAAGGTCCATCCAATCGACAGGATTTCTGACCAAGCAGACGAAAAGCATAGAAAAAAGTTGAGTGTAAAGAAATTCAGCAAAACTCAACACTCAGACCCAATAGCTAGTAAAACGGTCCAAGTAATTGACAGGATTTCTGACCAATCAGAAGAAAAAGAAAGTGAGAAGTTGAATGTAAAGACATTCAGTGAAACTCAACATTCAGAGACAACAGCTAGCAAAAAGGTCCATGTAATCGACAAGATCTCTGACCAATCAGAAGAAAAGCAAAGAAAAAAGTTGAGTGTAAAGAAATACAGCAAAACTCAACACTCAGACCCAATAGCTAGTAAAACGGTCCAAGTAATTGACTGGATTTCTGACCAATCAGAAGAAAAAGAAAGTGAGAAGTTGAATGTAAAGACATTCAGTGAAACTCAACATTCAGAGACAACAGCTAGCAAAAAGGTCCATGTAATCGACAAGATCTCTAACCAAGCAGAAGAAAAGCAAAGAAAAAAGTTGAGTGTAAAGAAATACAGCAAAACTCAACACTCAGACCCAATAGCTAGTAAAACGGTCCAAGTAATTGACTGGATTTCTGACCAATCAGAAGAAAAAGAAAGTGAGAAGTTGAATGTAAAGAAATACAGCAAAACTCAACACTCAGACCCAATAGCTAGTAAAACGGTCCAAGTAATTGACAGGATTTCTGACCAATCAGAAGAAAAAGAAAGTGAGAAGTTGAATGTAAAGAAATACAGCAAAACTCAACAGTCAGACCCAATGGCTAGTAAAACAGTCCATGAAATTGACAGGATTTGTGACCAAGCAAAGGCAAAAAGAGATAAAAAGTTGAGTAAAAAAGAAGCCAATCCAACTCAACATTCAGAACCAATGGTTGAAAAAAAGGTCCATGAAATTGACAGCATTTCTGACCAAGCAGAAGAAAAAGAAAGTCAGAAGTTGAGTAAAAAAAAAGCCAATCCAACTCAATATTCAGATACGATGGTCAATAAAAAGGTCCATGAAATTGACAGCATTTCTGACCAAGCAGCAGAACTAGAAAGTAAAAGGTTGAGTCAAAAAAGAGCACGTCTAACTCTACATTCAGACACGGTGGTCAATAAAAAGGTCCATGAAATTGACAGCATTTCTGACCAAGCAGCAGAAAAAGAAAGTAAAAGGTTGAGTAAAAAAAGAGCACGTCTAACTCTACATTCAGACACGGTGGTCAATAAAAAGGTCCATGAAATTGACAGCATTTCTGACCAAGCAGCAGAAAAAGAAAGTAAAAGGTTGAGTAAAAAAAGAGCACGTCTAACTCTACATTCAGACACGGTGGTCAATAAAAAGGTCCATGAAATTGACAGCATTTCTGACCAAGCAGCAGAAAAAGAAAGTAAAAGGTTGAGTAAAAAAAGAGCCAGTCTAACTCAACATTCAAACACAATAGCTGATCAAAACTACACTGTAGTTGACAGAATGTCTGACCAATCAGAAGAAAAGGAAAGTAAAACGTTTAGTGTAAAGACAGTCAGACAAAATCCACATTCAGACATGTTGGCTACTAAAAATATCCATGCAATTGACAGGGTTTCTGACCAAAGAGAAGATAAACAAATACAAAAGTTAAGTGTAAAGAGCTTCAGTCGAACTAAACATTCAGACAGAATGTCTGATGAAATAGTCCACGTAGTTGAAAGAATGTCTGACCGATCAGAAGAAATAAAAATTAAGAAGTTGAGTGCAAAACGAGTCAGTCATACTCAACGTTCAGACTTGGTGGCTAGTCAAGAGGTCCAAGCAATTGACAGAGGCTCTGACCAATCAGAAGAAAAGAAAAAAAAAAGTTGATTGTAAAGAGAGTTAGTCAAACGGAAGATTCAGACACACTGGCTCATAAAAAGGTCCAAGTAATCAACAGGGTTTCTGACCAAGCAGAAAAGAAAGAAAGAAAGCAGTCGAGTGTAAAGCGAGTTTGTCAAACTGACGATTCAGACTCAAAGACTGATAAAAAGGTCCAAGTAATCGACAGGGTTTCTGACCAAGCAGAAAAGAAAGAAAGAAAGCAGTCGAGTGTAAAGAGAGTTTGTCAAACTGACGATTCAGACACAAAGACTGATAAAAAGGTCCAAGTAATCGACAGGGTTTCGGACCAAGCAGAAGGAAAGGAGGGTAAAAAGTTGAGTGCAACGAGAATCAGTCATTCCCAACATTCAGACTTGGTGGCTAATAAAAAGGTCCAAGCAATTGACAGGGTTTCTGACCAAGCAGAAGGAAAGGAGGGTAAAAAGTTGAGTGCAACGAGAATCAGTCATTCCCAACATTCAGACTTGGTGGCTAATAAAAAGGTCCAAGCAATTGACAGGGTTTCTGACCAAGCAGAAGAAAAAGAAAGAAAGAAGTTGATTGTTAAGACAGTTAGTCAAACTGACGATTCAGACACAAAGACTGATAAAAAGGTCCAAGTAATCGACAGGGTTTCGGACCAAGCAGAAGGAAAGGAGGTTAAAAAGTTGAGTGCTAAGAAGATCATTCATACTCAACATTCAGAGACAGTGGCTAATAACAAGGTCCAAGTAATCGAAAGGGTTTCTGACATGGCAGAAGAAAATACTTCATCAGCCAGGTTAAATGTCGATGCTTTTGACCCAGTAGCAAGGCTAGAAATGCAAACAAGTCTGCTCTCCAAGTGTAGGCTACCTTTTGTCAAATTAATACGCAAGGACATGAAGGGTAAGAAGTTCCTTAATTCCACTGTGACCCTTAATCCCAATGACCAACCTGGATGTACAAAGAATGAAATACCAGATGCTGAAGTACCTGAAATGTCCTCTAAACAATCAGATTGGGTGAACGGCAAGGCAAGTATCTCCATTGATCGTGCAGTCAGTTCAGAATCCATAAAGATCTCAGTTAAGAAGGTAAAAGCAAGTGGTGGGACAGGTGTCCTCCGTCTCTCGTCAGAATCATTACCAGATAAACCTATTATTACATCCAAAGTGGCAAATGTGCTTGATGAGTTGGGTAGTCAAGAATCGGAAAGGGTATCAGTTTTAAATGTAAGCAACATGACTTACTCATTGTCAAACCAATCAGAAGGTAGGAAGACTCTTGCATCCAATGAATCAAGCATGACCACAGACCAGTTAGGCAACTCAGAACAAAAAATGACCTCTGCCAATAGTACAGCTTTTGATAAAACTCCATCTTCTATAAAAGCCAAGAAAGTTGTCTCCAAATTAAAGCTGGTTTCAGATGAAGTCAATAGAATCGTACTCCTTGAGCAGCCTACACACCTCCCAGCGAGCGGTCGGTTGATGACTCGAGCCCTGAAGGCCATGCAGGAGGTGGAAGAAAGAAAGCGAGAAAAAGTCAGAAAGAAGGCAGAGCAGACAGAACTCTTAAATCCATACAAAACAACTGAGAATGTCGCATGCAACTCTGCATCTAACTCCAAACTGGACTTTTGCACTGAAATTAAAACTCGTACTGACAATGATTGTGATCAGGACACTTCTAGCTGTAGCACTTCTCCTTTGACACGTCCTGATTCAGCTGACTTTGATGTGAAGAGTGAAGATGAAGATCTCTCAATATCCTCAACTCCTCCAATGGACTTCATACCCCTTACCTCTAGGGTAAAGGCAAAGAATGAAGATCAATCCTCTGACATGCAGCACTCGTCGTCTGCACCTTCCTCACCATTTTCTTTTATCAATTCCTTTAAAAACGTTGAGGAGTTATCCTTCCAGTCCCTGACAAATGAGGGTGAAGGTAAACCCATCTCTTTCAAAGCAGACACAAGCTACAAGTTCAGCACTTTTCTCATGATGTTGAAGGACTTGCATGACACTAGAGAGCGAGAGGGGACCCCTTTAGAGCTTGAAATTGGGCCACCAAGTGCACATGTGAAGGAGGAACCTTTAGTGATGCCTGGGGAGGCTACATCCGCAGGCCAAGATCCACAAATTAAACAGGTTAACAATGATTCAAATTCAAGTCCAGACAAAGTTGAAAACAAACACAATGAGGAGAGCACAAGTCAGACATCCAAGAGGCCCTATAAAAGAAGAATCAGCTCAACTATGGTAAAAAAGAAAGCCAACCGTGAGGTGCCTTGTCGTCCCGCCAGGTCTGGCCCTGGTTTCCCAGGACTGGAGTCATTGCCAACCACAGACTCTTCATCAGGACTCGATTGCTCGTCAAGAGACAAGTCACTGTTTGGCATAGAGACCAGCAGCTGGGAGAGGCACGCTGGAGGAGCTGAAGGAGTAGTTGGGGAGGAGGATGATATGTGGAGTAGAGTAAATGAGAATCTACAGAACATGGTGCCTTTGGAGCAGAGGGGATGTGATACTACGCTGTGTCTGGAACAGCCAAATGGCCTCGTTGCAGATGGTACTGAGACGACCACGAGCTTCATGCGCGACACTGGAGGAAGTGACAAGGCTCCAAAAGGTAATACTAGTTTATTGTCTGCCCAAAGTAACTAAGCACAATTTGATCCACATATTTGGTGCATTCAAGTGCTGTTAAGACGACAATAAATTGTAGTTATTGTATGTTTCTCAAATCAACAAGCTCTGGACTTTGACCAACTCTTGCCTTTCTTGGTTAAGGTTTTTCCATGTATTTACTCAATTTTTGGTGTAAACTAGGCCCAAAGAAGTTGCTACAACAACATAATGACAGGAAACCACACCAAGAACTCATAGTACTGTGGTTGTTTATAGATAACCAGCCAGATGTCCATAGCCCCCGCCATTTTACAACATGTCATGTCACTGATGTAATTTCAGATTTCAGAATATCTCTCTGAGAGGGGGGTGTTCATTTGAATTCTTCTTGTGAACAGATTTAACACAACCCATTTGAAGGCAACATTAGACTGTAGGTGTCCAAAGCAACTGTTCTTTGTTTGATTGCTACGTGTTAGCAATCAAACAACTAACTCTCACAAATAGTGGTGCCAAGGTAGAAGAGCGATAAGATACATGAAAGTCTTCTAATTTATTCTACATCATTTCACACTATAACCAACAAATACTAAAAAATATAGTGTATTTCCTCATATATCTTTTTCAGCACACAAACGAATAAGAAAACCAAGCAAGAGACTGATTGAATGGACTGAAGAGTATGATCAGATTTTCTCCACCAGGAAGAAAATCAAAAAGCCTCTCCAGTTGATTGGAAAGGTAAAACTCATACAAAGTATGATCTGTTGTAATGTTGTTGTTACAATACATAATGCTATGGCATTAAGCCTTCACTATCACCTCTCGGGCTACACATGAACCTTTTATCAATTAATGACAATTAAATAAAGTTATTTGTTTCGACAGGAAACTCAACCCGTTATGTCCGAACACCCGGGATCTGACAGCAGCTCACAGGACGACCACCCCTCCTTGAATTTGCCTCCTGAGATACAGACGCCACCTCCTGAGGAAATTCCTACAACAACACCGTCTGAACTACAAATTCCCAACACTGAAAACACATCTTCCCAAGATGCACCTGTACTTTCCATCGACACACTAACCCCTCCTCCTGAAACTGACCATTTGCTGACAGAAGGCCTCGTCAAAGGCAATGGTGAGTAAGGAAGTGTTTGAGTCTCTTGTCAAAGGGCCTTCACTTTAAGAAGAACATTTGTTGTTAAAGATTCTATCCTGGAAGATTAGGTTTTCCTTTATTGGACCTTAACTATGCAAACTATGATGCTTAATAATAATAACTTCGATTTATATAGCGCCTTTCAAGAAACCAAAGGACGCTTTATGATAGAATGAGGGGCGGACAAAAATGCAAACAACAGGGACGAGAAAATAAGAAGATAAAAAAAACTGGTCACAAAAATGTAGAGGAGAGAGTTAACTGAGGCTGAAGGCCCTGACAAACAGATGTGATTTGATTGCTTTTTTCAGCGGTCCTGATTTCAAGAGGGAGGGAGTTCCAGAGGGTCTTAAGCTAAAACGATTGCTTAACACTGACTTAAATATACAACAATGCATTGAGTCTTTTGTGTTACATTTATTTCACAGGAAGCGCTCCTGTGCTGGAGAGGAAGCGGAAGAGGAAACCCACTCAGAAGATCCTGGAGTACTGTATGGAGGCAGAGGCCTCAACGGGCCCCAAGAAAAAGGTAAATATATCTCTGTTGAATCTGTAGTAACACCACACACACAGACACACAGACACACAGACAGACAGACAGACAGACAGACAGACAGACAGACAGACAGACAGACAGACAGACAGACAGACAGACAGACAGACAGACAGACAGACAGACAGACAGACAGACAGACAGACAGACAGACAGACAGACAGACAGACAGACAGACAGACAGACAGACAGACAGACAGACAGACAGACAGACAGACAGACAGACAGACAGACAGACAGACAGACAGACAGACAGACAGACAGACAGACACACACACACACAGACACAGACAGACACTCAACTCCCGCACCAGACATTTTTTTTTTACGCTGCTAATGTACATTCTCAAAGATATTGAAGTGACTGTTATTTTTGTATATATTGATTGTTGTGCTTTTATTTAGGTCTTAATGTGTGCATATGTATAAATGTGTCTTTTGATTGTGTATATATAGGATATACATATTTGCACACATATTTTTATATATATTTGTTTTTGTATTCGGGATTGTGGGAAACGGTATTTCGATCTCTCTGTCTGTACACACAAACTAAAAGATTGATAATAATTTTGACTTTGACTAGTACATCTGTAATTCTTTTATTTTACTGTAGAATTTCAATTGAATGCTACTTTAGACTCATCTAAATCTCAGAGGCAGATATTGTACACTTTAATTCACGTCATGAATTAGGACGTTTTAACGGTGATGTTTTTCTGCTGTCACTTTTACATAAATATGTCTCTCTTGCCACAGGTCAAAACACTGAAGAACAATTCAAATCCTGCTCCTCAGACAGGTCAGTGAATCATCTTACAACAGTCTATATTTATACAATAGTTGAATGCATTATAAGCATATATTAATCATTTCCATTGTGTGCATTTGTTTTGTTTGAAAATAACTTTAAAATGTTAAAATAAGTCAAACTGAAGCCATGTTTCGCATCGCATCTTCAGATCTGAATTTGCAGACAAGTAAAGATTATTTTAGATTTAAAAATATGATTTTAAATAGCCCAGAATCTAGATAACAAAAACAAAGTTTGGGATGGACCTGCTCTGTGTTAACTCTAATAAACAATTGTTTAACCTCAATTTCTGTTTGCTGCTGCATTTTATCAAATCCAATAATAGTAATTTATTCCAAAACATTGTTTCTTTTAATCTTGTATTTTTAACCTGCATTATTCTATTATTTCTAACACGTCTTTCTTACTCCCAGATGCTGGACCGCCATCTTTAAAATCAAAGAGTCGGCAGCCCACAGCCTCCAGCTCAACAGAGGTTTCCTCCAGCTCCACCACAGACCCTCCTCCCAAATCTCCTGCCCCCTCCCCTCCAGCACCTCCGTCACCTGAACCCACGCTGGAGGAAACACCATCAGCAGACATTGATGCTCCTCAAGCCGAGGACAAGAAGGAGGCGACAGAATCAGAGGTCAGCCCTTTTTCCTCTTCTTCTCCTTATGTTTGCAGGAACTGTCACGGCTGGAGGGCCAGGTATACACGACCCAAATGCAGACGATTGGTTGAAAACAAAAAAAACATTATTTGCGGAACTAGTCAAAGTCAACTTTATTGTCAATCTTCCAGTTTGTGTGTACAGGCAGATAGATCGAAATACCGTTTCCCACAATCCTGAATATAAAAACAAATGTATATAAAAATATGTGTGCAAATAGAATCAAAGACACATTTTTACACACGGCCAGGCAAACAAAGTAAAACAAGGCAAAACATAAAATCGCTCAGAACAAAATCCTTCCATCACATACAGAGCAGAACTCTCTCCCCAGTGAACACATTCAACTTCGACAAGGAACTGACAACAAGTGAAAGACGAAAATAACTTAAATACCAGCACGAGTGATCACCAAGATACAGGTGGGGGGAGGGGAGGAAAGACACAGGAGCACCAGGTGAACACAATCAGCCAATCAAACACAGAGACAGGGGGTGTTTCTCAATGTCGAGGACGCTTCCTTAGTAGGACATGTCTTCCGAGTCAGGTCCTTCAGAAGCGAGGCAAGAATCCTTCCTAGCCTCGGAAAACGAAGAATGGTGGAACAGGCTAACAGGTGTGCAGGTGTGCGTCATATGCGAGGCCTCGCCTTAAATGGAGCGCAATTTCCGCCAAAGATTTTGGAAATTGGTCCGTGCGCAAAGCATTGTGGGAATTTTCACACCGCGGAGGATACACATGTGCAGCTTCGAAATGTCCTGCAACGAAGTACGCCGGCCTCGGTAGAATTCTAAGGATCCTGGACATTGGAACAGTCCTTCGCCGGGACTCGATGACGTAGCATCCTTGAAATAGTGGCTCTGGAGGACCCTTCCTCGACATTGAGAAACACCAAGGAAGTAGAAGCAGACATAACTAGGGGGTGCACACCTTTCAGAATCAAACGGGAAAACACAGACAGATCTTGACAGGAACTGGCAGATGAGAATACAAAATGAGCCCTGATTTATGGATGTAGTAAGTAAAGTTATTTTATTTAATTTTTTTATTAGAAAATGTGCTAGTTACATTTTATTTATAATATAAACATAATATACACACGGAAAAGAGCTATTCCACAGGTGATTTATGGACACATTTATTTGATCTATATAAAACACAACTCGTAAAAATAAAGAACACTCCACCACCAAAACCAAAATACATAAATCAATAAACAAGAAAAACATACAAAACTCATACAAATCACAATAACACCTTATTTTCTTTAGGCTGAGCCGTCCTGCTTGGATCACAGGTTCTCCTCCATGAATGACGACTTGTCGCTGTGTGACGATCCTCTGTCACCCTCAAGGAAGATCATAGGGGACCGAGGGGGTCCTGCATCCTTAAAGGAGAACATATGTCAGGTGAGCTTCCTCCTAAAGTCCCAATGTACTGATGAAGAAAGTTATAATGAAACTTGTGCTTTTCAAATATGGAAAAATATATTACACAGTAGTATTCATGTGTTAGTAAGCCCACTTTTTAAATAAATTCAGTCAATTCATGTTGAAAACATTTTCTAACAAATCTTAGCTTGAAATAGACCCTTCATATTTCATCTTATTATAATCACTCTGAGGCGAAGAAGATAAATGAAACCCTATAGAGAGCTGTGATGTAGGCGGTTTTTTTCTTAAAGCATATTCATGTATCGAGCCTAATTAACTACATTTTGTTAACTTATAACTTAACTTTCGAGGCAATATACCTCACCTCTATAAGCGGCCCAGCCCTTCGTATATTTTTCTGTATGTGGCCCCCGTGAAAAAAGTTTGGACACCCCTGATCTACAGCATATTGTCTTCAGTGACTGTAATGTTATGTTAAATGTCTGGTTCCTTGTTTTTCATATGAAATATTTTTCCTTGTTGATTTTGTCAGATAAAGCTGCTTTGATACAAGAACATTGTCATGCTTTATCTGGCAATAAAGTATTATAATATCATTTTGTACAATAAAATCACAATTCACCAATAAAACTTCACAGAAAATAGAAACACACCTTTACCTTCACAGCTTCTCATTATTACGCCTATGTTATGAGGTGTTTTAAAGTGGGTTGTTTTTGGTGTCTCAGGTGTGTGAGAAGACGGGGGAGCTGCTGCTGTGTGAGGGTCAGTGCTGTGGAGCCTTCCACCTGGCCTGCATCTCTCTGGCTCAGGCGCCCAAAGGGAAGTTTGTCTGTCCAGAGTGCAAATCAGGTAAATCAACGGGAAGTAGTGGAGTACAAATACTTCGTTACTGTACTTAGGTACATTTTTCTGGTATCATTACTTTACTCCAATACTTATTGATCTGACGACTTTTTACTTTCTACTTCTTTCATTTTGAACACAAATACCTGTACTTTCTACTTCTTACATTTTGAACACTAATATCTGTACTTTCTACTTCTTACATGTTGAACACAAATACCTGTACTTTCTACTTCTTACATGTTGAACTCAAATACCTGTACTTTCTACTTCTTACATGTTGAACTCAAATACCTGTACTTTCTACTTCTTACATGTTGAACTCAAATACTTGTACTTTCTACTTCTTACATGTTGAACTCAAATACTTGTACTTTCTACTTCTCTCATTTTCCAAACAGGCTGGTTCCTTTAGTTTGAATGTGTGTTTGGTGCGTGATCATTATTATTTCGAGTCATTGCGTGCCTATTGATTTGAACACGATCCGTGTATCCATCATTTCCTGGTCTTCTCTAAAGAAGAGGGACCAATGGAAACGTTGTCATGTTGCCGTTGTTCAGCATGGAAACATTCATTAGCTAACAATGACATTATTGTTCTATTAATATAAAGGGAGGTCAGGTACTCTTTAAAGCAGCTGCTAGTTATGGGTACTTTTTACTGAAGTACATTTCAAAGCCCATACTTCTTTACTTTTACTTGAGTAAAGAAGTTTAGTCAGAGTATTTTCAAACACGAATATCTGTACTTCTGCTTGAGTAAAGGATGTGTGTACTTTTGCCATCTCTGCCCGTAACTCAGCTGAATTAATATAATGCCAGTTTCCATTGGGGTCCGTTTAACTGTTTGCAAAATAACAAAAAAGCAATTTGATTTTTTTTGTTAATTTTTACTTTCTCCTCCCCAGGAGTCCACACCTGCTTTGTGTGCAAAAAGCGCAGTGCTGACGTGCGGCGATGTATGATTCCTGTGTGCGGGAAGTTTTATCACGGAGAGTGTATCGCCAACTTCGCCCCGACCGTACCTGTGAACCGAGGTTTCCGCTGCTCCATCCACGTCTGTCTCACCTGCTTCATCACCAACCCCAACAGCCCCTCCGTCTCCAAAGGTAGAAGATTGTTGGGAAAATACTGAATGTACTCTTCCAATATCAGAGTAGCACAAGATAACTGTAGCTGTGTACATGACAGGATGTATGATGACCTAGAAGAGCATCAGGACTGCTTTAGGCAAATGATAGCTATGTGATTAACATGATGATTCAGCCTCTATGGAGAGAGACATATGACAAGCATGCTCATTTCTGACGTGGAGCTAATCTGAAGTAAACATTGAAGACTGCTTTCTATTCCTCCATCTTGTGACTGTAACTCCCTCTCTTGGATATCAGCATGTGAAGGACACTGTTCAGGAACTAGTTGATGCTCTGTATGTGATGACTACTTCCATTCTGGATTTAGAAATACATGTATCCTGATATTGAAGCTCAAGCTGGTGACGACAAGGGATATTTTTCTAACGTCCAATATGATGAGGACAGAAAACATTTATTGTTTGCAGTTGTTCTCACCGTTAGAGCCCTGAGAGTAGGCGTTACGCTCTCGCTGACCTCCGTCTTCAGCCACTGCACCTTGGTGGACGCCGGCCGGTGGATTTTACACACCAGCTTCGCCTGGCCGCCCACCACAGCTGTAGTGTTTTCTGGGTAACCTGGGTTAATCAGAGGCCTGGAAACCCGCAGATCTGGAAGAAAAACTACTTCCATTCTTGAGAGGATAATAAATACATGGATCCTGAGATTGAAGCTCAAGCCGGTGACGAGTGAGAGTTTTCTAACAAAGATGTTTTAGGGTAATGACCTCTGTTTGTCTGTTGCACCTTCCCTGCTCTGACTGTCCGTGTATCCTTCCGCAGGTCGTCTGGTTCGCTGCGTGCGATGCCCAGTAGCCTATCATGCGACAGACCTGTGCATGGCCGCCGGCACCGTCGTCCTCTCCAACAACAGCATCATCTGTCCCAACCACTTCACCCCCCGCCGCGGAGTCAAGAACCACGAGCACGTCAACGTCAGCTGGTGCTTCGTCTGCACCGAAGGTACGGATTCAGGAACATGTGAAAGCATTTCAACTTCAGTGTGATGAACAACTAACAAACCACTCGGTGGCAAAATAACAAAATGGCAAGCTGACAGAAACACTTAACCCACATATTGTAAAGTTGTTACAGCTACAGTGTTATTGGTCTCCACCAATTCCAATGACCAGCAATTTGCTTACTTTGTTATTTTGAAGTGTAGACAATAAGCTGAAAGCGATTACAGAAAATAGTAGTAACCTTAAAGGTCACCTATTAGGCAAAATCCACTTCTCCATGTCTCCTCTAGATCAACATGTGTTCCCTCTTCTTCATGTCTCTTCTACATCAACATGTGTCCCCTCTTCTTCATGTCTCTTCTACATCAACATGTGTCCCCTCTTCTTCATGTCTCTTCTACATCAACATGTGTCCCCTCTTCTTCATGTCTCTTCTACATCAACATGTGTCCCCTCTGTGGAAAGAGACTCTGAAAGTTTCAGGAACAAAGATTCTCTGTCTTTTTGTCCTGATCCATTTCTATAAAAACCTGTCTGAAAATGAGCTGATCAGATTTTGGCCACTTTATGATGTCATAACGATGTGTTGGCTTGTGTAACCATTAGCCAATCAGCAACCAAGCCAAAGTAACCCCCCCCCCCACCTTATCACCTGAATCTCCTCCTAGAGCACCATTTTGTTCTTTTTAACCAAATCTCTCTCAGAGGGGCGTGGGGAGGGGCTCCTTATTTTGATCTAAAGTAACACAGAGAATCAGCACTTTGGAAACAGGGCTGAAACAGAGGGGATTATGGGTAATGCTGCAATGATCTGTTTGGTATTTGGAGCCAAACACTTCAGAGACATGTTTTGTATATATCTGAGACCTGTGATATATTGATGAAAAACAGTATAATAGGGGACCTTTTAAAGTAGCTCTAGCCAACCTTCACGCCCACTAAAACAATCACCAGTTTTCACGATGTGTCCTCCTCCCGTCCCGCAGGAGGCAGTCTGCTGTGCTGCGAGTCCTGTCCCGCTGCGTTTCACCGCGAGTGTCTGAACATGGAGATGCCTAAAGGAAGCTGGTTCTGCAACGACTGCAAGGCCGGGAAGAAACCTCACTACAAGGACATCCTCTGGGTGAAGGTCGGCCGCTACAGGTCAGTGCTTCCCCTTTTTTACAGAATTAAAAGTCACCTCAGGCTGAATTATAATAACTCTGTTCATTCACCCGTGGATCTTAGAACAGCAAACTCCCTATCTTTTTAATATGGCTTTTAATTTGGGTTAACTTTCCATTCTCACTAGTATCATTGTCTATGTTTTACTGTATTTTTCTTTTTTAAATTGTTTTATTTGAACCTATTTTAATTTCTTGTCAGCTTTAATTCACTGGGATTTCATTAGGATCACTGTAGATGTTTTATCTTGTTCTGTATCTATTTTAATATTATTTTAATAATGTTGTAATGTTTTCTGTAAAGCACTTCGGGCTGCTTTGTGCATGAAAGGTGCTATAAAACAATGGTTTCTCCTGTTCCATAAAGGTGGTGGCCAGCGGAGGTCAGCCATCCCAAATCGATCCCAGAGAACATCCTGCGCATGAGGCACGACGTCGGGGAGTTTCCGGTCCACTTCTTCGGCTCCAACGACTACCTGTGGACCTATCAGGCGCGCGTCTTCCCGTACATGGACGTGGACGCCAACAGCAGAGAGAAGATGGGGAAAGGAGTGGACGCCACCTACAGGAAAGGTAATCAGTGTGCTCAGCAAAATGGCTGTTTGTTGCTTCCTTGGTTTTACCTGGTGATGGTCTGACTGTTGGTCTTCCTCCTTAGCTTTGGAGGAGGCGGCTGTTCGGTTTCGGGAGCTGCAGGCAGAGAAGGAGCTCCGGCAGCTGCAGGAGGACAGGAAGAACGACAGGAAGCCTCCGCCGTACAAACACATCAAGGTCAGGAAGGACACTTGTGGCTTTACTTATTTCTACCCTTAAAAATACATGATTTTTATCGTAGTGATTCAATTATGAGATGAATTATGAGTTTCTCATATTTTTATTTTTTAAATGTATTCTACTATTTCAACAATTACACAGTTTATAGATCCGAAAAAACAGAATGAGTAGAAGCGGGACGGCAGAAAGCATAGCTTAAAAAAACAAGTCCATGTTCAGATAACAAGACAGTTTCATTTCTCATCCTATTTTTATATAAGCTATGATAATTAAGATAATTATGATAATAGTTATTATAATTATTATTGATATTATCATTATCGTATATCCATATAATCTTTTTTTAAGTTAAGCCAAAGGCACTTAAAGGCATATAAGACTGTTTCTCATGAAAAATGTGGCTCTTTGATTAAATAAGGATGGATTAGATATATACATACTGATGTGTCATTTCACCTTTCTGACTCTTTCAGGTGAACCGACCAATAGGAAAGGTTCAGATCTTCACGGCCGACCTATCAGAGATCCCGCGCTGTAACTGCAAGGCGTCAGACGAGAGTCCGTGTGGGATGGACTCTGAGTGCATCAACCGCATGCTGCTCTACGAGTGTCACCCTCAGGTACAGAAACCAGAACTTTCACAGCCGGTTTAGAGATCTATAGATGGACACAAATAATAATTAAAGTGCTTTGTGTCCAAGTAGCAGAAATATACATTTTAAAATACACATAGATAAAGGGTTGTAATAGTATACCGGTATCACAGGTTAATCTTACATGCTATAGTCTCATTGCATTTATTTCGTTCAACAGGAGATGTACAGCTTTCTTATTTTGTACACCCTCCTTAGTTATTATAATAAAGTGTTCAGCAAGAGGTGAATTTTAGAGACTGTTGAAAACAATTTGTCCAAAACTGTTCAAGTCACCTATTATGCAAAATCCACTTCTTCATGTCTTTTCTACATCAACATGTGTCCCCTCTTCTTCATGTCTCTTCTACATCAACATGTGTCCCCTCTTCTTCATGTCTCTTCTACATCAACATGTGTCCCCTCTTCTTCATGTCTCTTCTACATCAACATGTGTCCCCTCTTCTTCATGTCTCCTCTACATCAACATGTGTCCCCTCTTCTTCACGTCTCTTCTACATCAACATGTGTCCCCTCTTCTTCATGTCTCTTCTACATCAACATGTGTCCCCTCTTCTTCATGTCTCTTCTACATCAACATGTGTCCCCTCTTCTTCATGTCTCTTCTACATCAACATGTGTCCCCTCTTCTTCATGTCTCTTCTACATCAACATGTGTCCCCTCTTCTTCATGTCTCTTCTACATCAACATGTGTCCCCTCTTCTTCATGTCTCTTCTACATCAACATGTGTCCCCTCTGTGGAAAGAGACTCTGAAAGTCTCAGGAACAAAGATTCTCTCTCTTTTTGTCCTGATCCATTTCTATAAAAACCTGTCTGAAAATGAGCTGATCATAACGATTGTTTGGCTTGTGTAACCATTAGCCAATCACCAACCAAGGTAACCCCCCCTCCCTTTATCACCTGAATCTCCTCCTAGAGCACCATTGAGTTCTTTGTAACCAAATCTCTCTCAGAGGGGCGTGGGGAGGGGCTCCTTATTTTCATCTAAAGTAACAGACAGAGAATCAGCACTTTGGAAACAGGGCTGAAACAGAGGGGATTATGGGATGCTGCAATGATCCGTTTGGTGTTTCAGCCAATCAGAGACAGGTTCTGTATATATCTGAGACCTATAATATATTGATGAAAAACAGTATAATGGGAGACCTTTTCAATCGAAACAAAATGCTGAAAGACGCTGAAATGTTTCCAGGTTTGCCCGGCGGGGGAGCGCTGCCTGAATCAGGCGTTCAGCAAGCGTCAGTATAGCCAGGTGGAGATCTTCAGGACGCTGTCCCGAGGGTGGGGGCTGCGCTGCGTCCACGACATCAAGAAGGTAGCAACACTACTGTCATTAACACTGCTGGTACTACTCAGTGTTTACTTCCCAGAGGATTAATAATGTTAAATGTTTCAGGGTCACTTTGTGAGTGAGTACGTCGGGGAGGTGATCGACGAGGAGGAGTGCCGGTCCAGGATCAGACAGGCTCAGGAGACCGACATCTGTAACTTCTACATGCTGACTCTGGACAAGGTACAGCTGCAGAGAGTGTGTGTTAAAGTGTGTATTCATGAAGAACACTGGTTGAGACGTCAGAACCAGAAATCTGGTGATAATTGTACCATCGTTTCAAAGCGCCACCTAAGTTTGTTGCTGTTGCGTGTTTGTGACCAATGATTCAGATCAGTCTCTTGATTTTAAAGCTTCCTCTTTGCTCGATGGTACACTGTGTTACCAAGTTTCATGAAAATCAGGGCAGGAGGTTTACCTGCTGACAAACACACAAACAAACCAAGCTTAAAACACAGAATTATTCCGTAAAAAAGGTCCAAATTTGATTTAGGAAAGATTTAAAAATGAAAAAATGCTTTCTTGTTTACATCTTGTGAAGTTGACTTTTAGACTATATCATAAAAATAGACGTCTTAAATATATTATTTATTTTACGGGAGAATTATAAGACACGATCAAAAAGGCCATTTGAACTAAACAAGAACCAAGACCAGGACCTCTTTGTGCTAACACATGTTAACACTACTGGTTGGAGATTGCTCCATTAAATGTGTACAATTTTACAAAACATTTCCCAGATTTGTGACTTTTTAGTAGAAACAATTGTCGGTTCTCTGCTTGCACTGGCTATAGCATTGGCATGAAAACAGTATTTAAAGTGTCCTATGTGCTGTGTGGAAGCTGCAGTTTCATCAGTTGTGTCTCTGTTTGTCAGGATCGAATCATCGACGCCGGTCCGAAGGGGAACGAGGCTCGCTTCATGAACCACTGCTGTCAGCCCAACTGTGAGACGCAGAAGTGGACGGTGAGCGGAGACACCAGGGTGGGTCTGTTCGCTCTCATCGACGTCGCTGCAGGTAAATATAACCGCTGACATGAGGGAGTTTGGTCAAACATCGACCATTCAATATTTGGTCAACGAAGAACCTTGTCATGTTTAATGGAAACATTGGTAAATAAGGAATTCTGAAGTGGAGGTATTTTGTGTTTGCGTGCAGGCACAGAGCTCACCTTCAACTACAACCTGGAGTGTTTGGGGAACGGGAAGACAGTCTGTAAATGTGGAGCTCCGAACTGCAGCGGCTTCCTGGGGGTCAGGCCAAAGGTCAGTGTTTCACTTTTCAGATCAAAAATCCTTTTATTACGTTTCTACAATGCATAACCAGGGGCTTGTCATTTAGTAATCGAAAGCAAAATGTATGCATATACAAATGAAACAATGGTTTGTACTGCTTATATGTACAAAGGGAAACATAAAGAACAACGGAAAACACAAACAAACAATAACGACTAAAGTAATCCCCTACATTCATTTTAGATGCATTCCACACTTGGTAAAATGATCTGTTAATGGTCTTGTGTGTGTGTGTGTGTGTGTGTGTGTGTGTGTGTGTATGTGTGTGTGTGTGTGTGTGTGTGTGTGTGTGTGTGTGTGTGTGGTGTGTGTGTGTGTGTGTGTGTGTGATGGTGGAAATGGACTGTACTTATATAGCTTATCAAAGCACTTTACATACTACATGTCGTTCACCCATTCACACCCAGTCATACAGCGCAGTGTAGCTTACTCTAGGACCTAACATTCACACACATTCACACACCGTTGGCCATCGGAAGCAACTCAGGGGTGTGTGTGTGTGTGTGTTTTACATGCATATATATTAATTTAACAATATTTCTGGTGTCTGAGGCTCACTGGCGGTTTACTTTTATATACAGTAGGATGTTTTTAGATCAATATTACTCCTGCATTCATGTATATTTAGCATGTTACTTCTGTAGATGTACAATAGTGTGCTAATTCCTTTATATACAGTAGGGTTGTGGGTAGTTTATTCTACAGCAATGCACCAGATATGGTATCGAAGCATTTTACAATTGATGCAAGGCAAATGAGGCTTTTAAAAAAAGTAGATTTTACTTCATCCCTCGGTTCAGAACAGACTTTCAGTGTTGTGAAGAAGTACAAAGGTGCTCAAATAAAGTAGAAGTATTTTTTAAATGTACTTAAATACTTAAGTTACCACTAACTGAGGTAAGACTTCTTCTTATTATGTATTTATTTCAACAAGGACCATGCATACAAATACATTAATCTCAAAGAAGAGATGAATTATGCCAGATTTGAGCTAATAGCTCATTTCCATCTGCACTCCTTAAAAAAGCACATCATAATTTAGTCTCATCAAAACAAAGGCTTTTCAAAAAGTAGATTTGACTTCATCCCTCGGTTCAGAACAGACTTTCAGTGTTGTGAAGAAGTTCAAAGGTGCTCAGATAAAGTAGAAGTATTAAAAAAAAATGTACTGAATTCTAAATGTATATAGTCACCACTACCTGAGGTAAGACTTCTCTAAAGGGGCACATCATAATTGAGTCTCATAAATAAAAAGCTATGTTAAAATCTTCCCTCTGAACAGAACAACCCTCCATCTGACGATAAAGGGCGTAAGATGAAGAGGAGGGGTAAGAGGAAGAAGGTGCTGGTGACCAAAGAGCGGGAGGACGAGTGTTTCAGCTGCGGAGACGGAGGACAGATGGTCTCCTGTAAGAGGCCCGGCTGCCCCAAGGTTTACCACGCAGACTGCCTGAACCTCACCAAGAGGCCTGCAGGTCAGTCATTTTGTGTGTACAGACAGAGAGATCGAAATACCGTTTCCCACAATCCTGAATACACAAACCTCTCTGGGTTTCTCCAACTTGGGATGTATCAATCAGGAGAGACTTCATGTTATGTTTAAAGAACATTTATTTACGCCATATGATTGAAATATTAATAGTGTTTGGCGATTAGACCCCAATCCTGATATCATATATCTAAAGGGGGAAGTGAGTATAATAGAAAAACCGTAAAATTAATGTATTTAATATATTTAGTTTTAGCAGTACATTTGTCTATTACAGTGTATTCTTACTTATTTTGTATATTTTATATTGTGTTTTCTATGGATACCCTATAGGTATTTATCTTTATACTGTTGATATATATATATATATTTCATAACATTTTATCTCATGTGCAATGCCTTGTTAACATGCTGCTGTAACAAAACTATTTCCCAATTTGGGATCAATGAATATATCTAATCTAAATATTATTTATATATTATTTTATTACACTGAATCATCTTTGACTTTGTGTCACTATAACACCAAGGCACACACTCACGGTTTTTATTCTGTTGTCTACTTTATTATATTGTTGTTGTTTTGTTTCAACCATTTTACTCCGTAGCACTTTGAGTTTTGTTTACTCAAATGAAAAGTGCGCTTATAAATCAAATGGATTATTATTATTAATATTTGTAAATACATTTTAAACTTGTTTTTTTCTAGTCATTGTATCTTCTTGTCTGTATTGCAGGTCGCTGGGAGTGTCCGTGGCATCAGTGTGATGTCTGCTGTACGGAGGCTTCCTCTTTCTGCGAGATGTGCCCCAGCTCGTTCTGCAAACTGCACCGCGACGGCCTGCTCTTCATCTCCAAGCTGGACGGGAAGCTGTGCTGCAGCGAGCACGACCCCTGTGGTCCGGACCCCCTGGAGCCGGGGGAGATCAGAGAGTACAGCACCCCTCCCAGAGCCCTGACCTCGGGGCTGGGCATGGCCGTCATCCCCTCCTCTGGCCCAAACACCTCCGGGACCACCGGACAGAACCAGAACTCCAGGAAGGTGCGAGAGGTCGTCGATGCTGAGACACTTCCTGCTTTCTCCATTCCGGTTGCCATCACTATCCCCGTCCCCCCCGGCTCCTCGTCTCCTCCCAGCAGCCCTCCAGTGTACGACCTCCCTCACTACTCGCCCATATCCTCGTATGAAGAAGAGAGAGACGTAGAAGAGGAAGAGGAAGAGGAGGAGCTTCTGGATGAAGTGGAGGAGGAGTCGGAGGAGGAGTCGGAGGAGGAAGAAGAAGGTGAGGACACGAGCCAGAAATCAGATCCTCATGAAGAGGATGGAGAGGCAGTGATGGAGTACGTGGAGATCAAAGATGATGAAGAAGAGGAGGAGGATGAGGAGGAGGATGAGGAGGAGGGGGAGGAGGAAGAGGAGGGGGAGGAGGGGGAGGAGGAGGGGGAGGAGGAGGGGGAGGAGGAAGAGGAGTGACGCATGTTGGATTATTATATCTGCAGCGAGAGCCCTCAGCAAATGAAGATTTCCCGACCACACGTAGCCCGGTCTGTCACTGTTTGTATCTGATGAGCTCGTGGACATATGGAGGAACATTTTAGGACAATAATAATAAATCAACACATAAAATAAATAAGAATAAAATACTGTACAGAACCATATTTATACACAGCAGATATTATTTATTTAGTTTTGTCCTCACAATCCTAACACTCTTGACGCAGTGACTTTGCACACACTGGCGCAGACTGCACCTTCAAACTCGAGATCTGACAAAGAAAATCATCTGGGACTTCTCCATGAAAATGACTTTGTAAACATATTTCTCACCGATTTCTCCTGCCGGTTTGTTTTAGTATTTGCAGTATTGCAAGAAGCTTCATGTAGTTGAAGAGAGTTGTTGTATCTGCAGAGTGTACTGTAGGTGTTTCGTGCTAGAAAAGACTGCATCTTCAGTCCATGTTATTAACCTTGACTTGGTTGCATTTGAATCAAATGGTGACCACGTGTTTGAAAGACCCAGAAACACATTACATGTTCTCTTAATAACTCAATGATCTGCTATCAGCACAGCTTCAACTGGCCTAAGAATTAATTCCTTGGGAGTTTTAAAATATCAGTTTAACTACAGTATGTATAATAAGATTTTACTCGACCCAGGCTTCCATTTTACTCCCCTGCGTATTTCCTACGGTGCTTCACAGTCAGACGATCTACGATAATATGTGAAAGTGCCACATGATGGGCTGCCTGGTGTAGCTTCAAGATGAAATCCACGACGCGAACAAGAGGCTTTTTGTTGGTTTTAGACCGAAGCTGGCAACATTTGACCATTTCATGCCAAAAAAACTGCTGAGGATTCAGTGTGACTGAGAATAGTCCTCGTGCTTCAGAGAAAGTGTTTATAAACCGTCACAGGACGCTAAAGCTGTCTCGTAGGTTAATTAGCTGCTCTACAAGGAGACATAGCAGAGATAGCACTATGTGTGTATGCTGTGCTCTGTAGTAATTATTTATGAACTGTTCTGTGATGAAGATGAGGAGATCCATCAAGGGGAATCAAAGGTCTTCAACGGGATGTTCAAACAGACTCCCACCATGACGCTTGCACTTGTTTTTTTGCCAATGCGTGTTTTCGCTCTGTCTTCAAGCTTAATATGGTCTGTGTGTTATCTGCCAATGCCTTAGTGTATTTCTTTGGAGATATTTTGAAGGAATGGTTTCCCTACTTATGCCTTTTTACAGTTTCCCGAAAGCAATGTTTCATTCCTGTGTAATTATGATCTCAACCATTGACCTGTTAAATCGACTGCTATATATATATAAATATATATGGAAAAGAAAATATGAAATAATCTTCGTACTGGCCTCGTTCTTTTTGTTTATTGGTCCAACATGAAGCTACATCTGTGAGCCTCTTTAGAATGGGTTTGGTGACACAAGCTATACTAACTACTCATGTGGCTTTAAATATATTTAATTGAATCAATGCCTAATGCAATGAAATTAAGTGCTTTGTCAAATATTTTTAAAAGGGTAAGAGAACGATTAGCCTCACTGTTTTTTTTGTTGTCGTTATGCTTACGAAACTTAGTAAAAATAATATGGTTTTAACATTTAAATGTCCTGCAAAGTACGATTGAGATTCTTTCGGAAAGACTGATTTGAAAAATGCTAACGAACTTGAGATTTCAGCAGCACAGTGAAGTTTGTAAGTTGGATATTCGGCCGACATCTTACAGGGCGTCTTCCCGTCTTAAATGACACAAAACCTATTATTACTACTATTCATTTGAATATTTAGTTTTCTTTCAAAGGTCCATTTTGAACAGCTTTCATGTCATGTGACCCATTGACTCTTAATCAATACGACATTGTATAACTACTCTGGAAAAGGGGCCACACTTCTTATTGATTTGAGTGCTCCTTCTATTGGATACGATTATCTTCTTCACTTCTGGATTGATTATGGAGTCTTTACAACACATGACAAGGAAACTGTCATTATGGATTGGGATGATTTGTAATACATTTCCTTTCCCGTATATTGCCATTATTCTTACCCAAGGCAAAAGAGTGAATCCCCATCAAATCTATCAGATCTTTAAAAAGTTATTTCTAAAAGCTTGTTGAAATAACTTTCACAGAACATATTTACTTTGCCCTCCATAAAAAATATTGTGCATTTTAATTTCCAACAAATGACACATCAACACGTCAAAGCAGCGACACGGAGAAACAGTTATCTTTTATTTCCCCACGTCTTCCAGGCAGCATAACTTAAAAAGGCAATAAATTAGAGTCCTGAAGTGAGACAGCTGTACAGATTGTTCTGAGGACATCGAGAGGACATGTTTCCACATTCACCCACAACGGCTTTTCTCCTGTTGGTGAAATCTGCAGTTTTTCACCATAGTGGAGGGGAACTTAAGTGTTTCTTAAAAGCTTCAAAAAGGAACATGTCACTGAAGCAACAGACTGAACGAATATTTGCCAGTCACGTTTCCATATGTGCTCTATGCATTTGAAATGACAAAATATAATTTTAGAGTTTAAATGTGGAAAAGCAAACGTTAAAATGTGCTTTCAGTCTGCTCAGGTCATGCAGTTGAATTACAGAGATTTTGGCATCAAGTGAAATCAGAATCATAGCTTATTCTGCAAAAGATGATGTGCCAGAAACATGTCGTCACTGTGGATGTATTATAGGCACATTAAACTGGACTACAAAGATGGCGGCCATTCATTTGAAAGAAAGTGCATAACCACATTTCTTACCAACTTCAGTACATCCCACCAACGTTACATTGGGATGACTTGGAGGGCTATTCAGACATTAACATATGCGTTGTCAATAGTCTTATAGACGTCTCTTTTATAACGGCAGTCTCACCAGAAAAAGCTTTTAGGTGCGGCAGTGTTTTTTTATTTCTGCAGTACCACGAGTGACCCCTGCTTGTTATCGATACATCCAGAATGTTTTTGTAAACGTTAAAGAGCCAGCACTCTGCAAAATGATGGACAATTTGTGGGTAGTAAGGCATCAATTCATATCATTCGTATCATTTCATTCATGCACTGGTGAGACTTCTTTTAAGGTCTGATCGAAATCGTTTTCTTCCTTGTTTCATAAGTTACGATAGATAGGGGGGACAAGAGGTTATGCTTTTACAAAGATGATAACCTTTTTGGTAACTTTAAGAAACCCTTTTCCCCAACTAAAATACATTTACAAAAGGGATCTTAAATGCTGCAAGACCTTATTTTCCTCCACCTTCCCTCTAGTCATAGAGAGAAACGTATTTAGATCAGATGTCAAGAGTTGTCTCACCAGACTTAGTTTTTCTCATCGGCCTCTCAGGGCTTCTGTAAACGGGAACATTGGAGTGTTTGGTTTTTTAGATCCAGCTTGCTTCACTCCACTCCTGTCAGGTTGTGCAGGAATAACAGACAACAAGGTTAAATAGCTGAACAAAAACCAGTCACCCTCCTCGATCTCTGCAAACAATCACTTTTTTTACTTCTGTGGTCCAATCCAGAAGAAGCTACGGAAGAACAAGGACATCGCTGGGTAAAGTGTTCTGTTGTTTCCATCCCTCACAGCCAGTGACAGCCTCTAGCAGATCTTCTTCCATAAAGTTTTGCAGCCGTCAGTTGTTTTTTTTTTAATGGCACAAAAGAAACCTATTGAAAAACATTGTGCAACTTGGTATTTTGTGACTTGGATCACAGCTCCAGAGCAGAGTTTCCCATCAAATGTATCCAGCATAAAATCCAGGTTTTTCATCCAACCGGAAGTGAGGCGAACAGGTCCGTTTCCCTTCCTCTTCCTCAGTTGTTATGGCAACAGGAATAGAAATATGAGTCCTTCTTCTGGCTCAAGTCCACGCTTGTTTCCTCTGCTGAAACACACAAAGACACAGTATATGGTATTTAATAATACATTATTTTACTTTCTTGTTCTACTCTTAATCCCTCTTTCTCTTGCTGCATCTTGTCTCTAACCATAACACTAAATTAAATGTATGTCATAAGCGCATTCAAAAGTAGGGATGGTAAATGGACTGTACTTATATAGCGCTTTATCCAGTCTTTAAGACCCCTCAAAGCGCTTTACAATACTACATGTCGTTCACCCATTCATACAGAGCAGTGTACCTTACTCTAGGACCTAACATTCACACACCGTTGGCCATGCCATCGGGAGCAACTCGGGGTTAAGTATCTCGCCCAAGGATACATTGACATGTTGGGTGAATGGGCTGGGATCGAACCCACAACCTTCTGGTTGAGACGACCGCACTCCCTTGCAGCCACAGTCGCCCATGTGCCCATAAGTAATCGAAATATTTAGTCTAGGAAAATGTCTGAATGAAGCATTTCGCAGAGAAGTCCCGGCCTACAAACTGTATTTTGTAGACTTAATTAAAAAATCCCTGTTTGGTACAGATCCTCTTAAAAAAAAATGACACCATGAGCATTTTAATGATAAAAGATTATTTAAAAAAAATTATCAATTCGTATAATACAACATATTATATCACAATTGCAATATCAGTCAATATAATCACAATGAGATTTTCTATCAAATTGTGCAGCCCTATTCAAGAGTAGATATAAATAAGACTTGAATTAGCCAATAGCCTCAAAGGACCATAGCTTGTTCATAAGTTGCTTCGGTATTCTATCATTCGTCTCTATCTCACTGTATATTTCTCACTGTCTGTTTACATGTCGCTGTACTCGGCCTGTACTCGGCCTTATCACTTATTATCACTAAATGAATAGCTAAGTAGCAGCTCTGGGACAAATTCAGGTGGTAGACTTTATTTTCTTTTAGATTATAGCCAAATAAACTTGCTAGGTCTACACAGATGAATGACAGATACTTACACTAGGGCAGGTGTTAAGTTAGATCAATGGAGAGCAGTTTGGGGGGTAAAGGGGGTCAGTATGTCCCAATCCCCTATTTAAAGGATTCATCCACAGTGTGTGTTAATAAAGCACTCACGTTTCATTTCCTGGAAGGCATTGCTGTTGTAATCCTCTGCAACTTTCTGGAACAACTCATCTGTCAGGGAGAGGAAGAACGAGTCCTGTCAGTTTCCATCAGTTCATTCACAGAAACAAGTCCATGCTGTATAAAAGCAAAGAGTCCATTCGGCTCAGTGCACTTTCACTATGACGTTATCTCTGCTAGGAAACATGCAGCGAGGCTAAAAGGCCACACATAAGCCATTACTGCGTTTCTCTCGTAAAATTTGAATTATTTATACAAGTTAATGTTGTGGTAGATTGTAAAACTGTAATGTATAATGTTCATTCGGATATAAATACGTTTTTAAAATAGTTTCCATGAACTGTTTACAGATAAAAGGCTGTGAGACTCTTCCTCTGTGCTTTATAAACATAAATATATGTCTCCTACGTCTCAACTTGACTCATGTGTTAGGTTTTTATGCACTTCCCTTTTTCCTTCAAGAGAATCAGGGCTGCTTTCAAATAGCCACCGCTACATTCCCCTCGCTAATATAGTTTTAATGTTTCCCATGCTGGCATCAAGTTCTCGATAATACTGCTGAGATTGTTATCTTTACTGCAAATGTAATGCCACTGCCTTTTGTCCTTCAAACATACTGAAGACTACCATTACGTAAATATTTGTTTTGTGTTTGAGAGCCTCATACTTGTGTCCCAGCTGAGTTTAAAAGTAATGATCTGCCAACAATCTGACATCATTCAAAAAAGCCCTCAAAACTCACCGTTTCACTCTTACCTTCAACTCCTCACCCACTAACTCCTCACCCACTAACCCCTCGCCCACTAACCCCTCGCCCACTAATCCCTCGCCCACTAACCCCTCGCCCACTAACCCCTCGCCCACTAATCCCTCGCCCCTATTCCACCGAGCTTGGAACTTTTTAGTTTTGTTGTTATTTGTCTTTACTTGCTTGTAAAGCGCTTTGAGCACCAGGAAAAGCGCTATATAAATATGATGTATTATTATTATTATGATACAGAGAAAGATTAAATGTGTGCAGTTAATGAACATCAAGAGAACACTCCGCTCTTCTTCTAACAATGATAATACATATTCTTCTTTTTGTTTCCTCATTGATGTTGTTAATGTCTTAAAGAGGAGGAATTCCAATGCTCCATACAGACTTCTTGTGTTTTAAAGGTCACCTATCATGCTATTTGTAGGCAATAGCATAGGTCTCAGATATATACAAATATATAAAAAACATGTCTATGAAGTGTTTTGCTCAAAATACCAAACAGATCATTCTAGCCATGCCTCATATCCCTCTATTTCACTTCCTGTTTCAAAAGTGTTGATTTGGGGTATAAAGCTTTAAAAGAAAAAATGGATTTAAAAAAGCAGGGGGCTGAGCTCATACGGGACCCGGCAGCTACTGTCTAAACTAAATACTGCCGTGATGAAACGCCATATCATGGATTATCAAGGATCTGAAACAGTTTGGAGCTCAAAGGCTTTCTCTCTTGCCGGTTATATCACAAGGTGAGTTCCTTTTTATTTCCTGCTTCTTCACACACATGCTCTCCAGTACAGGTTAGCTCTGAGTGTTAGCGATGCTAATGTAAACACCGACCATATTACGTCCAAAACAGTTGGGCATTGTTTCTGATAGCAACTTTTCTGATTGGCCCGTGGGTCCACATTTCAGATATTACGTCATATCGGACGCAAATCTGGATCAGCTCCGTTTTTAGAGATTTGGGTACGGAGGAAAAGAGAGAGGGTTTTATTTTCTGACGCTGCATGAGTTCCCTGACACACCGGGGACACATCTTTGTGTATAAAAGACATCAAAAAGTGCATTTGGCATGATAGGTCCCCTTTAATATAACTTCTGTGCATATCTTAAGTTGGCATTCAACAGTATCTTTCCTGAAGAAATGACTATCTGATATGTCGGGCTAGGTCTTCTCAGTTCTACAATCAAGGGATTTACGTATTTTAAAGATTTCCCAGATTTGCAAATGTCAGAATACTGAGGAAAACCCACTTCCTCAATTGACAGACAGTGAATCAATATGGGAAACATTAAACCACTGGTGTTAAATGTGTTCTGCAGATGCCTGAAGGTGCGACTCACCCACGTTAGTTCCTGTTTTACTGGAGGTCTCAAAATGCTGGGCACCAATCTCTGTGAAAGCAAAACATGACAGTGAGGTTAAAGGTCAGTGAGCTTCACACATAGAGGCTGATGGAGGTCAACCGTTTAAAAAAAAAAAATCAAGACGTTTAAATACACTTCAGAGGTCTAATTATTGTCAACTTAAAATATGAATTATTGTTATTGATAATGGAGCTAGAGAAGTACCAGTAAGTAGACATTGAAGGGATTGAATTAAAACAATTAAATAATAAAGTGGATTTAAGATGTTGCTATGTTTTGCATATACATTTTGTACATTGAAAAAAAGAAAGTATCACTGTGGTAGATCAGGGGGGTCAAACTCAAATACACAGTGGGCCAAAATCAGAAAATGGGTACTAGTCGAGGGCCGGACTGGTTCAATGTTTTTTGCAGAACTTATTGAAATGAACTTATTGCACATATTAAACCTGGAACTAACAAAGCTTAAATTATTGCCTATAAAAACAACATGAAACATTAAATAATCAGTTGCATTCATTTCTTACAGTATGGCTCTATCTGCAGCTTTTCCAGAGTCATTTCTTACGCCAGATACTTGGCATCTCATCTTGGGTGCAAGTTCATCAATGTTTGGGCTCAGGCTCTGAGCGGAGGAAACCCTCAGGATTGAGTGAAGGTGTGCGTGCAATATACCGGCGGGCCAGATCTAATAGTAATTAGAAATTATCCTGAGGGCTGAAATTAAATCCACCAAGGGCCTTGAGTTTGACATGTATGGCTTAGATCAGTGTTTCTCAAACTTTTTCATACCAAGGACCACTTAACCAATAAAAAAACACTCGCGGACCACCTAACTCCACAAATATCCAAAAACACATTGTTTTTCTAGAACAGATTACAAATCGCCTGAAAATGGTACAAACAGGTGGCAACATGTGTGACGAAGGTGTTGCGCTGGGCTATATCATGCAATAGAAAGTGAAACGTAACCTCACCCCATTGCGGAGATATTCCCACGAGAGTGCGGAACACTTAAATTAACTTATTTATTTAAAATGTGAAATGTTACCAATATACTCACGGACCACAAGGGGGCGCTCACGGACCACCAGTGGTCCGCGGACCACTCTTTGAGAAGCACTGGCTTAGATGATGATGACATAACAAACTAAATAAAACCTTTATTTTTAACAGTTAACCAATATGACTGAATATCTAACCCCTATGCAGAGTGTAGTTACCGTCAGCAAAGTCCTGAGCGTCGTGGTAGTCGATTTGGCGCAGACTGCGGTCCTGTGAGATCAGGTCGCTCTTAGAGCCGCACAGGTAGATCTTACAGTGCTGCAGAACAACAGAGAGAGAATACATCAAACACACGGTGACTAACGGACGCTTCGAGGTGTAGAGAGAACACAAAGTGCAAATAGTAATAAAGGGCTTTCGTTTTCAATTCATTCACAGAACAAATATTAGGTGCCGGGTTTAGACATACATAGATAAATACAGATGTGATAAATAGTAGAAACAGATGTTATAAATAGTAAATAAAGAGATTGTAAATGAGTGCAATGTCCCCGAGTGTGAGGTGCTGTGGGTTTGAGCCCAATGACATTCAAAGGGGAGTGGGCTGGTGGAGTGTGAAAGTTCAGGAAGGTTATGGTTTCCTCTATATACCAACCCTAATTTTGTCTATTTCTTGTAAAGCCCTTTAAAGTTAATTGAATTAGTCTGAAAGGTGATATATCAATTAAGTTCAAATGATTGATTGATAATCCTGTGTCCTAATTTGTTCATGCATGAAACGCTTTTGTCAAATTTAGACTGCATTTTATTGAGGCAAAATAGTTGTAAAGCATTTATTAATAAAATGTCTTCTTTTGGTAAATGAAAAAAGGTTTTAGTGGAATGAAACGTTTCGAATTGTCAGCATAGGTATTAAGAACCTATAGTTCTGGTATCTTTGTCAAAATGTAGTGTTCAAATCAACGAAACAAAGAAATCTAGACACACACTTTAACTGTTCCTGTATTATTTAGGTTGTTTTATGAACTGGTAAAAGCTGTATAATCAGAGTGTAAGGTAACACATAATCGAGTCAATCAGCTGTGTTGAGTTGGTCTAGAAACGCTCTCTTACTTCCTCGCAGTTCTGCAGCTCCTTCACCCAGAACCGAGCTCTCTGGAAACTGCTGCTGTCAGTCAGATCTGAAAGGTAAAAAACACAAAGGTAAATAAACCCAACCCTGCATGAAGTGAACCAGGAGAGCAACACTAACACTCAAATCAACAACTAATCTACCAGCTCTTCTCTTTCAGTGATGTATCCCCAAGGAAAGTCACATTAAGGGTATTTGAAGATAAAGTAACAACATCATGGAAAACTGATAAAACAAGATGAATAAGAGGATCATTTGAATGAAGTTGAGACGTGAAAACGACTATTATCATGAAGAAGACCCCGTTAATCTCATCACACTGTGTTTGTCTTCAGCTCTTATCAAAGTGTTTCTCCTATCTTCACGATTGAAAATGTGTCACATTTATTTTTTAAGGGACTCTTTTTGCTTTTACACAAAGCTTCGAGTCTCAAGGTTTCCTTTATTGTAGGAAACCTTTAGACACTTCTGTGATGTGTATATGTTTACATTTTAAGTTAAACGTCATAAACAGTATTTCTTTATATAAGACTTTGATCCTGGAGTTGTCAATGTTCCGGTTAACCTTTAATGTTTTTGTTTGTTTGGTTAATTTTGCATTTAGAATAATAGAACTCAAAAGGCCCTATTATGCTTTTTTGGGTTTCCCCAATCCTGTAGTGTTAAATTGTTTTTAGTACATAGAAATGTTCTGTGGGACATCTCTAAGCAGTTGACCAATCACATCAGAGCCGGCAAGCTAACCAATCAGAGCAGACTGGGCTCTGGTTTCAGACAGAGGGTGAAAAGAGGTGCTGCAGCACAGGCAGTATGAGAAAATTAAAGAGCTTTTTGAACATTAACGCATGGAGACATGTCCCAGGAGAGACACTACATACTGAAAATGAGCATAGTGTGTCCTCTTTCATAACTCAAGGACCTTTGTTTTGTTATCTTGGTGATAGTAGGATATTGCAGGTGTGGTTTAAAACTTGCTTTCACTTGTATCTGAAGTTGTATTATCTTAAAGGAGACATGTCATGCTTTTCCGGTTATTACCCGTCCCCTTGTGTGTTATGAAGATTTTTCTGCATGTAAACGGTCTGCAGAGTCACAAACCCTCAAAGTACACCATGTAGTGAGTACAACTCTAACACAGAAAATACCTGTTTATGCTGCCCCTGAACGCCTCGTTGGAGATTTTTCTTTTTCTTCCTGGGTACAGTGACGTGCCCATACCCAAATGCGCTCCTCACAGACACACACACACTCTCTCTCAGCGGCGAAACTGTGATGCGCTGGGGAGGGGGTGCTAGTGAAGCCTCGCAGCCACGAAACTGTTGCACGCTTACACTGTAGGGGCGGCGCGTTTGGGGGTGCGGGTGCTAGTGGAGCCTCACAGATGGGGGTGCTGTAGCCCCCTCAGCACCCCCCCCCTTCCCACATCCATTCGCGATGTCTCGCAGACCCCACGCAGCAACCAGGAAATGACCCCAGCTCACACTGGCCGCTCCTCACAGCAGCGAGCCCTGCAACGTCCCGCCAGCACGGCAGCCAGACCCCACGCAGCATTCTCATCTGTTTGTCATTACTGGTGTCATTTTCTGGTTGCTAACGCCATTGTAACATATAATCACTGATGTTCCGCTGTAACGGTGGTGGACTCATCAGAACAGAATTGGCGAGCTGACCAATCAGAGCACAGTGGGCTCACAGGGAGGGGGGGGGGGGGGCAGGAGCTCCAACAAGCCGTTTAGGACAGAGAGTGAATACACATACCCGTGTTGTAGTCAAGTCACCAATTCACGAGTCCAAGTCACTCTCGAGTCACCACTCTTCGAGTCAGAGTCCAAGTCCAAGTCACCAAGGGAGGGTCGTAGTCGAGTCCGAGTCCAAGTCACCCAAGGAGTGTCCGAGTCGAGTCCGAGTCATCATTACCTGTGTTCGAGTCCAAGTCCGAGTCACCTAAGGAGTGTCCGAGTCGAGTCCGAGTCATCATTACCTGTGTCGAGTCCAAGTCACCTAAGGAGTGTCCGAGTCGAGTCCGAGTCATCATTACCTGTGTTCGAGTCCAAGTCCGAGTCACCAAGGGAGAGTCGTAGTCGAGTCCGAGTCCAAGTCCGAGTCACCCAAGGAGTGTCGGAGTCGAGTCCGAGTCATCATTACCTGTGTTCGAGTCCGAGTCCAAGTCTGAGTCACCCAAGGAGTGTCCGAGTCGAGTCATCATTACCTGTGTTCGAGTCCGAGTCCAAGTCCGAGTCACCCAAGGAGTGTCCGAGTCGAGTCCGAGTCATCATTACCTGTGTTCGAGTCCGAGTCCAAGTCTGAATCACCCAAGGAGTGTCCGAGTCGAGTCATCATTACCTGTGTTCGAGTCCAAGTCCGAGTCACCTAAGAAGAGTCCAAGTCAAGTCCGAGTCACAAGTCTTCATGTATTAATCTTCGTGGATATATGTGTTGAAATGTAGCTGCTCCTCTACATTGCTGTTATCCTGTCATGTTATACTAATCTGTCTATTGAACTGCTGTGAAGCGAGTTTGGCTACAATTATTGTAATAGGTGCTATACAAATATAAAGCTTATTACTAATATTAATATTATTATTGTAAATGACCTTTAATATGTCTAACTATATTTAAAATGAGTTACCTTTTAGAGAAGTGATTATATTTCTATGCCAATATTTTCCTATGGTAAAGTTTTCGTGTTGCACTTTTATTTTGATAGTAATAAGATCGGGACTCTTATTTTGAAGGACCTTTTAGCGGTTAAATCGGTTTACTGATAAAAGACTTAGCCCCAGAAAGCACATGGCTACTTAGCATGCAAAATGACATCATTCTGTATGTTAAGTAGCCATGTGCTTTCGTGTTATCGGCTGAATCTTTATTTTTTGATTAGATCACGTTACTCTGATGATAGTGTTCAAGACAGCCTATATGTCTGAACTCGATCCTTAGAGTAATGTGTTACGGAGCCTTCTCTTCAATATTGTTTCCACATAACGAGCATTTTGCGCTGCTCTTTTCCAATGTGGAAGCAGAATGTGTGAAAGCATACAGCACGATGCGGGGTGTGTCTCTAGACATCTTTAGACTGGAATAGCGGGGCCCAGTACGTGAACTCGCCTCACAGGTGCACATGCCAGGATAGAGGACATCAGACTCCAGAGAAAACTTGCTCGAGTCCGAGTCAGAGCGTCAATGTACAAGTCGAGTCCGAATCATCGTGGGGGGGGAAAGTTCACGAGTCCAAGTCAGCGTACGCGAGAATTCACGAGTCCGAGTCCAAGTCATCATGCGCGAGAATTCACGAGTCCAAGTCGCGTCAATCAGTGCGCGAGTCCGAGTCGAGTCACGAGTCCCGAAAATCGGCACTCGAGTCCGAGTCCAGGACTTGAGTACTCCATCTCTGACACATACTATACAGAGATGCTGTATGAGAAACCAATGTGAGTTTGGAACATTGAACAATGTAAATCTATTCTAGTAGACCTCAACAATGGATTTATGATCAGTAGAAATGGCCATCACATGGGACCTTTAAGTCTAACTGTGTGACTATCAATGGCACAATGCTCAGTTCCCCCATTAGAAACACCACAAACAAAGTTTTGCTTTCAGCTTTCAGTTCTGTATGCGGTGAAGTACATTTAGAAATGCATCCAGCTGGTGTGCCCTAAATACTGAAACGCCTCCAACACAGCAAACTGAGAGCTGTCCCATTAGACTTCAGCCACAATGAATGTCACTTGTGCTTCAGGTATTTATTAACTACCACAAGACATATCACAAGCACAACAAGCAGTCAACACCATGTCAGACAGTCAGGGTTTCATTAGTCACGTATATAAGGAAATCATTTCTGGTATTTCGTTCGCTATAATACTTCTGAGAAATATATCTCTTTACTGTACATGGTTGAATTTAAGTTTAAAGCTCATTTGTTTATCCATTTGTCAAAGTAACTGCTCTTTGTTATTCACTGTAGTTATATATATATATATATATATATATATATATATATATATATATATATTAGTCAACATTATTTTAGATTTATTCAGAAAGCCAATGTGTCCTTTGTCACATATCTAAGGATATATTCCTGTCAATCAGATGGGGATTTTCACATCGTTGAGTAACACTACATTGAAACAATGGTATCAGAGAAGTTTGGTGTAGTTAGGTATTGGTATTTTGCGAGTTCAGTTTTCATCGTTTTCAAAACTAAAGCACAGACATGTTCTGTTTTTGGTTACACTAAAATGTCTCAGAAATGTGTGCAGTTTGTTCAGAGATCATAATGTTGAAGCTGAAGAAAAATTGGATTTGCTGTATCTATTTTTAAGAGCACTGTTTCTAACATTTGACCAAAAACAGATGGGTTTTGGGCTAAAACTTATATTGAAGCCTGACTCCGTTCCATCCATCTAGCTGGGGAAGCAGAGTATAAACCAACATGTCTTTCCACCAGTAAGTTTCAGTTAGATTACCAGCTATTTGAATGTTTAAAAAAAACGTGCATACTTAATGAGGCAAATGTGTCACATCTAAGGCGTTTAAAGGAATGAAAAAATATAACCCTAATATAAAACGTTGTGGTTCAGAAATAGGGTTCTCTGGTTTAACCAACGCCACAAATGTAGATTTACCATAGCAGACGATGGCTGCACGAGCTCCTCTGTAGTAGATCCTGCTCATGGCTTCATATCGCTCTGATCCCGCTGTGTCCTGAGGGAAATAAATGTAAATACATCTACAGTAAATGTAGATATGATAAGAAGACTGCTTCCTGTTATGTTTCTGCTTTTGTATGTCTCAGATCTGATTATATTATTGTACACAGGCAACATTCCTACAACACCCATGCAGGCTTTACATGCCGTTTAACCCCCAGTGTGACAAACTCTGCAGCTGCAAGCTAACTTCCCCTCACTGCTGCAAAGGTTGTGAATCCCCTAAAACTCAGACAAGTTGTTTTGGCATTAAATCAAACTCATATTTATTTATATTTTCAGACACTTTTTTCTCCTTTCCAAGTCATATGCAAACCATGCATAGTACATCCATTAGAGATAAGGAGAAGTGTAACACATACATCATTTACAACAGCCTGCGTATGAAAAGTAGCTTCATTATTAATTAGATAAGACTCAGACAGTGAATGAGATGTCTTTCTCACGTCAACCAACTCTCAAAATCACTTACCAAGTTACCCTATAATTAATCCTTAATTTAGTGCTTATTTGAAGTTAATTTGGAAAACAGACCATGGATCAAAAACGTATAAACACATTCTGTTGTGACCGAACGATTAGTAAAGGTACAGTACAGTAGTTTATGTATATGGAAGAGAGTATTAGACTGTATTATAATGAAAGAAACAATTAAGAATCAACTTATTGAAAAAACAATAACAGGAAATGAAAATGGGAAACTTAACTTAATAAGCCATAACTGTTGTATAAAATAAGTTTGGCTGCGTTATGTTATTAATTAAGGTTCAGTATAATATTCCAGATAACAATTCACTATATAAAGGTATCTTCTGACTCACCCATATTCCCAGGGTGATCACCTTCTCTCCCACTTGGATTGGTTTGGCAACAAAAGCAGCACCGATAGTCTGCCGGAGGAAAAACAAGCTTCAGACACTCTCTGTGGATTTATGGGTACTTTTAAACTGAATTTACACAATGACATTTTTGTTAAATAATCCATAGCATGTAATGACCGAGTGGGTAAAGTGTGGATGATGAGATCTCTTTCTTGTAATTAATCCTATAAAACCATGAAAAGACAACCCTTATGCCATTTTACAATGTCTTTAAAAACCAGGACAATATCTTGTGTCATATCACCGTGTCAATATAAAATTGAGATATGGCTTAACCATTATTGACAGCTATTGAATTGCTTTTGAACTAAATATAAATATTCTGTTGTGATTGGTCAACCGCTTAGAGATGTCCCGCCCCTTAGCCTATCATATACAATGTGTTGGAGCGCTAGCCCATAGAAGCACAAGTGTTACATAGAAGTAAACAAAGAAGTCCAATGGAGGCACTTCAGGCATGGGGGAGTGTGTTTGAGAGAAACTCCATCTTGCAGGAAACTTTGCAGATGATTTACATGCACACAAACCTATATAACACACAACAGGAAATGGAAACCCCCAAAAAGCACAATAGGGCGTCTTAAACCGGGACAAAACCCAACCGTGACTTCTAAGTCCCCAAGGATACTTTACCGTTTTATGCAACTGTTATAAAAACCTCATGGTGTATTATCAAACAGGACACGAGAAAGGCGTGTCTGACTAGCTCCAACATTAATATACAAGAATCTCACAGAAACGCTTGTCTCATGCTTACAGAAACATTACTGCATCAGTTTGTATGAGGACCTTTATGCTTCAAAATTAACACAGACATGAGATACATTTCCACAACCTCCCTAGGGAAAAAAATAAAATGCTTTTCATCGTAGGCAAGGAAATTGAAGCAGCTGACACTCACGTTCTGGTACGGGCCGACCAAGAAGCGATGGTGGACATATCTCTCCACCAGGCTGGTCTTCCCCACGCTCTCCTTTCCTAGCATCACCACTTTGGCATCCACACGCATCGCACTCATGTTAACTGGAGAGTCGAGGGTCGAGGGAAAGGACAGGAGGAGAGCACAGCAAAGCAAACAGAAGGGGGGGATGTTAATGTACACCGATGCTTAATGTGCCGTGAGGTGAAAAGACAAGATACACAACCATTGAGAGCGCTAATGAAGTCAAACAATACCATTGAATTGAAATAACACATGCACAAGGGAATACTAGGGTGTCGGTAATTTATTTATTTATCTTTGTTATACAGGGATGGGAAAAGGGGTGAGATTAATGAGGGAGAACTTGGATATTTCATTAATGTGTTGACAAAAACAAATCTGAGGTTATAAAATACTACATCTACGAGACAAGACTGAGAGGTTCTCTGAGAATAAAGCATATATTTACGAGAACACTTGGGAAAACATGTTTTTTTGTCAAGTAGCTACATCTACTTTGCCAGGTGTTGTGTGAGAGGGTAACCCAACCTTGCAAAGTGAAGCGATGCGTTTTCTTGAGAATAAAACCAATTGGGACAGAGAAAATTTAAGTTTTTTTATCTTAGTATAATAATATTTTTCCGGTATAATATTACCCAGCTCTCCTAGAGGGGCCCTACAATGCTGTCCTAATAAAGTGGTATTTAATTATTTTAAGAATAATCATACGCATTTAACAAATTCTAAAGTTTCTCTGTAACCTTTTTTACTTCCTCTTATCATCTATGACATATGTTGCATCTTTACGAAATATTGGAATATTATTGTATGTTATGAAGTAAGAAAGTATTAAGTAGAAGAAAAATAAAGTAAAAAAGTTAGTACACTTCTTCAAGTCTAATTAATTCCTAAAACTGGATATGGATATGAATGAAAAGTTATATAATCTCTATTTCTTGCCGACAAGTTTTCTGATAACATCTCAATAATGACTAATCAAATATTGTAATCAATGTGACCAAAGCTTTAATTGTCTACGTTTCGTTTCAGCTCAACTGTAAATGGATGAATTACTCTCCAAAGTAGCAAAGCATTAACTGTCTATATATTACCTGACATTACAATGAATTTGACAAACATCTCAGAGGGAACATTTAAGTTTTTCTACACTACATGTAATTGATAACTTCGCAGATTCAGATTAATAAACCAAATATTATGTTGTTTAAATCACAAATGATTAATAAGATAAGATAAATGTTAAATTGACAAAAGAGTTAACATTTACCATCTGCAACATTAAAGCGATGAACAGATTATGGCATCAATAACTATAGTCCATGAGTACTATTTACACTTTAAGTACATTTTGAAGGTAATACTTTTGTACATTTACTTAGCTAACATTCATAATAAAAGACGTTTACTTGTAACAGAGTATGTGTACAGTACACTGTGATATTACTCGTTATTACTCCAGTAAAATACCTGAGTACATCTTGTCCACTGCCTCACTGGGACAAACATGACATAGCCAAAACAAAACCATTAATATTAACGTTAGCTAACAAAGCTAGCTTCACATAAAAACAGTCACCTTGTAGCTAGTTTGAATCAAAAAATCTTCGTTAACATCTGATCTCCGTCCAGGAACCGAGCCGAACCGGGACTGTCATCCGAGTTGTCGAACCTGTTTGAAGTATAGCCGGTGACCGACCAACCGGCGGCTGTTTACTGGCAGTGGCAGCTAGCTAACGTTGCTGTTGCGCAATGGCTGAAATAACAAAGCGTCACTTTTAGATAAGAAAAATGCAATAACCGGCTCACAGGAGTTTGATTTAATAAAACCAGCCCAGCTAAGTGATGAGGATCAGCTGGCCGGAGACGGAGCTGTTACTGAAGGGAGGGATTTCTCCATCTGAGCTTTGTTTGTTGGGGTGGGAACCAAAGAGGCGGGTGTTTCCAGGAGATGGAAGTGCCCGATTGCGTGAAACAACCGCCGGATGTGTACAATCAGGGAGGCCGCCATGTTGGACTGGGACACTTGTTTGTTTATAACTTTGTGCAGACTGCGACTGTAAGAACAAAGGTTTATGGGAATTACTTTTCACAGCTAAGACTGACCATGTAATATTGTATATGGCAGACAGTTATACCATAATGTTTAATTGGATATTATGGCCATAATAACATAATGTTTTATTAGATTTTGCCATTATAACATAATTTTGTATTGGTTTTGGCCATAATAACATCATGTTTTATTGAATTTTTCCATAAAAAAATCATGTTTTATTGGATTTTGCCATTAAACATAATGTTTTATTAGATTTTGCCATTATAACATAATGTTGTATTGTATTTGACCATAATAACATAATGTTTTATTGTATATGGCCATAATAACATAATTTTGTATTGGTTTTGGCCATAATAACATCATGTTTTATTGACATTTGCCATTATAACATTATGTTTTATTGAATGTTGCCATTATAACATCATGTTTTATTGATTTCTGCTATAATAACATAATGTTTTATTGTATTTGGCCATGATAACATAATGTTTTCTTCGATTTCCCCCCCCCCCCCCCCCAATAAGATCATGTTTTATTGAATTTTGCCATTACAACATCATGTTTTATTCGATATGGTCATAATAAAATCATGTTTTATTGTATTTTGCCATTATAACATTATGTTTTGTTTGATATGGACAGAATAACATAATGTTTTATTGTATTTTGCCATAATAACATATTGTTTTATTGGATTTGGCCATTATAAAATAATGTTGTTGATAGCTAGTTATCCACCAGAGTATGACAGCTGAGCATTTATAAGAAGCCATATAAACTTTATTGCAAATAATAACGTTGTTCTTATATGATGTTGTTTCCTCCAAAATGATTTATTTATTTCAGACTTATTTGCCGACTTTTCTCACACATCTTTATCTCTATTGATTTTGTAATGTACAGTAACCCATTTCTGCAAATATGACCTGATTGTATTATATAATGATAGGCTATTATGTAATAATAAAACAGAAAAAAAGTTTCATATCTGTTATTTTTAAATTAAATATATTCCTGACACTATAAAAAACAAATAATCAATCATAAGAACTAACGATCGCATTGATCGACAACACACATATTAATCTTTATGTGTCGCTTTTTTGGCACGCAGTCGGATGAACCCTATTGGTTTAAAGCTGTTAACCGACGCCTCTCGCGCTGCAGCTGTGGTTGGTTCAGGACCCGCGAGCTCTCCCGGTCCCACCCACACACACCGACAGAGAGAGGACCCAACATGGCTGAAGAAGAAGGAAGCGAGGTAACTTCTGGTGGTCTTTTCCAGGAGATCTTCACCTCCCCGCTGAACCTGACGCTGCTCAGCCTTTGTCTGTTCCTCCTCTACAAGATCTTCCGCGGGGACAAACCTCCGGATCTCGGCGAGGTGGAGCCGCCGCTGCCCAAACTCAAAAAGAGAGATTTCACCCTCGCTGAGTTGAAGCCCTACGATGGGCTCCAGGACCCGAGGATCCTCATGGCTGTCAACGGGAAAGTGTTCGACGTCACACGGGGGAAGAAGTTCTACGGCCCAGGTAACTATTGGGGTAACGGTCACCGCGCGGACCCTTCCGTCGTCACTACGCAACGACGCCAGCTCGTTGGCGACGTTGTGATATTTTAAAGATGCATTGATAAAAAAAAATCGTTTTTTTAATAAATAATATTCGTTTAATTAGTTATTGTTTAAGTGGAAGCTAACGCCACACCCCCTTTAGTTAAAGATCTGAGATCCCGTTTCACAACAGAGGAGCAACTAGCCTTGGGACCACAGATCGTCTATGGAGGAATTAGTGTTACTCCATAGTCAAAAAACAAGTGCATTTGAAAATGTGGATTTAATTCCCAGCTGTGGGGCGAATAGAGGATATATGCTCTCTATGTACATATATACTTGTAATACTCATGTGTCTTACTTCACTAAAAGTAGTTGTATCACTGTTCAATAGTCCATTTATTTTCCAACTCAATAGGCCTACTACCCCAATTTGGGATAAAGTACATGTATCTATGTTGTACACCCCCTGAATTCACAATGTATTTAAGGTGTTGACATCAGAATATTTATTACACAAATTACATGTTGTAGAAAGGTCAATTTCAGATTAATGTGATACTATAGATTGATGCATTCATCTGTTTATCACTATATGCCTGAATTGTATTCACTCTCGTGCATGTTGTTAACTGCAATAAGAGTTTCAGCCAATCACAACAAGCAATGTCCACACTTTATAGAGCTCATTATTCAAATTAAGACAGATTGTTTTCAATATGAATTCAGCTTTGCGAGTATGTGTTGATTTTTTACAGTTGTGATCGTTTTTGAACAGAGTAAGTCATGTGTACTCTGAAATAAGATTATGCCCTGTCATGCTTCTTACTTTCAGCCACGTGGAAACGTAAGCAGAGTTAGACCTCTGTTTATTTTATCTTATCTGTGATGGTAACCTTTGTTGCTTGTAACCTCTGACCAACATGGTATCTAACTGGCATGTACACTTTTAATGACCCTGCACATCCAGCCTTGAAGCCTTTGGGGAGTATTTGGGTATAAAAGGAATTTAGCTATTTTAAAAATGTGTCCATGTGCAGAGGGGTTGGTGCTCAAGGACATTTTGATAACGCTCAAGGCTGTTGCAGTCAGTTTGACTTGAAATAATAAGGGCTGGAGGTTGTTTGAAAGTGTTGGTACAGATGTATGTGTGACCATAAGCAAACTTGAATTAAAATCAGTCTTAAACATGGCAAATACTTATTTAAAAAATGAAAAATCCTATCAAAGTGCTTCCTTTCATTGTTTAAACTTAATGGCCATCAATAAAGCAAAGAAAAACACATAATATAATAATTATTATATATATTAGCAGAGGTGGGATAAGTACTTGAGTAAAGGTAGAAGTACCACAGTGTAGCAATACTCTGTTACAGTAGAAGTCCTGCATTCAAAATGTTACTCAAATGAAAGTACACAAGTATTAGCATCAACATACTTAAAGTATCAAGTAAAAGTAGTCATTGTGCAGATTGGTCCATTTCAGAGTAATATATATGATGTGTTTTATAATGATTGATCATGAAAGTGTTCTCAAAGCTGGTAAAGGTGCAGCTAAAAAAAACAAATGCTGAGTTGTGCTCACTTGTTGCATTCGCCTCACTGTTCTGTATCTCTTCCATCTTGCAGAGGGTCCATATGGAGTGTTTGCAGGCAAAGATGCTTCTAGAGGTTTGGCTACGTTCTGCCTGGAGAAAGAGGCGCTGAAAGACGAGCACGACGACCTGTCGGACCTGAACACCATGCAGCAGGAAGGCCTGTCCGAGTGGGAGACGCAGTTCACCTGTGAGTCATAGACACAGTTTCTCAGGGTGTCCGCGGGGTCTTAAAAAGTATTAAAAGTTGATAAATCAATTTAGCCAAAATGAACGCTATTAAAAAGTATTAAACAGCATTTTCTAAGGTATTAGATTTTGTAGCTTGTTTTCAATAAGTATCTAAATGGTCCAAAGAGGTTGTATTCTACAGTGTGCCTGAATGTAATCATGGCGTAGGTGTGTAGTGTGATTCTGTGTAGTTTATTGATGGCATCCCGTTGGATTTGACGTCATCTGAACAGGACATCTCACGCTCACTGCTTGATAGCGCGAAGGTCCGTTTACGCCGGTTGTTAAACAACATCGTTATGGGGAAATGCAAGTTTGCGTCCAAATGGTTGGAAGATAAGGAGGAAGGACAATCAATACTGTATATAGTCAATGTGAGGTAAAGTGTGTCGCCAAGGTAACCGGTTAAAACTCCAAGTGGCGATGAGGTCTTAAAATGTATGGAAAGGGTCTGAAAAAAGGTCTTACATTTGACTTCTGGATTCCTGATATACCCTGTTACTGTTGTACAGCTTTTACAGATATCAACAGTAATATCTCTTCATGAATCTGAATTACATATATGCATTAAAAGCACTAGAGCATTTGGAAAAATCCCAAAACTATAGAATAACAGAAGCCGTAAAAGTAAATGCTTGTTAATTCAAATCAGAGACATGTGTCACAGCGCTTTGGTGTCTATCCCTAGTCATGCTCAAAACATTTGCTGTTCATTTCTGATAAAGCTTCGGAGCCCAAAACATAATGACGGACAGCCCGAACTTCTGCAATGTGTCCTCCTCAATTTGCACAACCAACTACTTGACCAATTCCTCGTGTTCATGTAACACTGAGGAGCTGATGGAATCATACATTCACATTTCCTTTTGCAGATTTATTTTGAGTATCATTGGTTAAAAAATATTTGTAAAGCAGAAATGTATGTGTTGGATCATACAATCCGTTTTTGTGACATTTTGTCAACTTAATTTATTACGTTAGGAAGATAATTACTCAAATGAGGCTTCCCAGGGGACTCTTAGTGGTTATTAAACAAACATTGGTGACTTTTTTTCCTGAAGCATCAGAAGCAAATCACATTTTATCTTCATGACTTGAGCGATATCAAATTGGGTTGCATGCAGGGGCGGACTGGGACTACAAATCAGCCCGGGACTCTCGACCGGCCCACTTCGGTACCGCAAGTAATTACCGCTAGTAAATTGTCGACGGGGGGGACGGGGGGGGGGTGCTAGTGACTTACCCGTCCGGCCCACTTCAGTACCGGCCCATCGGGATTCGTCCCGATGGCCAGTCCGCCCCTGGTTGCATGAACAAACATTATCCAGTGTCCTTTAATATCCAGCTGAGAATGGATTATATGAGGCTGTTATTAACTGTTGTATTCTTTTCTTGCCCCCTCTGTTACAGTTAAGTATGATTACATTGGTAAGCTGCTGAAACCAGGCGAGGAGCCCGCAGAGTACACAGACGACGAGGAGGTAAAAGACAAGAAGACGGACTAGAGAATGAAAAGTGAACGCGACGGGGAAAATGATTGATGCCTTAATGTTTGTAATTCTGACGCCTGTTGCCTCCTATTAGGGCCAGTCTTCTATATGTACTCTAATACTTTTGGACACTATCCTGCATTTTATATGCTGAGTGACTGAATTCCATTTATCTCTTGGCATCAACATTTAAAAGATACTGCATTGTGACTAGTTGTTTATCTCTTTAAAACGGATCCTTGTGTTGTTTTGGAGAATCAAGAACGTGGACCAATGACGGTTAAATGTCCTGTAGGTTGTCTGAAGGAGGAGAACATCCACAGCTCTGTCGTACACTTTATTAAAGGGTCATTTGGGTATTTTTAGTCTTAGTTACTAATTGGGACAACCATTTTTGAAACTGGTCTTGTATTAAGCGATAGCGCTGCAGCCACAACTGCGAAACAGCTCGGTAGATCGATCAAAGTCAACTAAAAGCGACTGTATTTGCCACTGACACTCTCATCGTTTTATTCAAGTTCAAGCTAACATTGTGTAAAGAAACCTACACAGGAATACAACTTTTTTCTTATTGTTTTGTTTGATCTGAAAGTTGGAAAGTGCCGGGAAGAGTTGGTGTTGTTGGAGTACAGAAAGCCTAGTGGCATTTAGAATATCAAGGCTGAATATTAAGCTGATTCCAACAATGGTTTCCAGCCCTCTGACTCAATGCTGGACCATTTACAAAAATGTTGCCCCTTTTCACCTTTAGACACAAACATATGAGAAAATACCAAAGTTACCCTTAGATATCGCTGCTGATGTATTGCAGGTTGTACACATTCCTTTCATCAAGGTTTCAGCTCGGATCACATTGAAGTTAATTGTCTCAGGAAGTATTCTCCTTTCAAATTGACTACACATATATTGAGGGTCTGGAGCCAGGGTGTGTAAAAATACATTTCAATTTATAAGATAATCTTTGATTCCCACCAAAAGATAGTTTGGTTTCCCTGAAAATAGATCAGACGCTATTGGGTTGGAAATGACTCATTTGAAATTAAAGTTTATCTGTAAAGTGTTTTTGTTTTTTGGAGAACAACGCCCAGGCTGAGGGAAAACAGGAATTTTCTTATAAACAAATACTTAAGAAGTCCTCCCAAAAATACTGCTTGTTATACTGTACCAACAACATTTACTGTACGAACGGTTATATAAGGTGAACGGGCCCTGATCTTTAAACAATGAGGGCAATGACGTCCAGATGTATTGAAAACCTATCGAGTGAATCTGCTAATCTCAATTCACCGGTCCCGTAATACGTTTATCAGATTGTATTTCTTTTTTTCTGTTGAGACCCTTTTCTTTAATTAATCTTGAGATATTTTTGCAACTCAAAAAGACAATCCATGTTGTTTTCTGCATCGCCCAACATCCTAAATGTAACATCAATTAACCATTAAGCAAAACTATTAAAATATTCTCTGGTCTCAGTTATTACAATTTGCTGCTTTTCTTTGCTTCACACAACAATGTGAATTTTGGACCGTAGAGCGGGTTTAAAAAAAGTAACGTGCAATGTTTGTAAAGAAATACTTGATGGTAAACGTGAAGCTCTCATTTACATGAAGTAGTGTTCTGTTGAGCATTACATGCTGCAGGAGAAAAGTTCAGAGCACAGAGAAATGGATCGTAAAAAACACTAAAAAGGCCAGTTAAGATTCTCAAAAACACTAGCAAACAATCGAATGTTTTAGGTAATAGTTTACATGCTTCTTTGACACTAGTCAGAGCATTTTTTAAGCAATATTTCACAGTCCGAGTTCGTAGGCTGTAAAAGATACAACACAAGAAACTTGTTTTCGTCCGTTAAATGATGCTTCTGCTTTGTTTGCAAGGAAATATTGATGAATCCTGAAGTTATATTGAATATTTTAATTGGTGTGTTAAATCATCAATTTTTATTTTGTCACCATTGCCCCTGTCAAAGTGGAAAGAATGGCCACTTTCCATAAAAACAGAGTCAGTGATGGAATATGTTCAGTATGCATGATGTACATAAAATAAATGTCATAATCCTGAAAAATGATATTTTGACTTAATAAATAAAATTACAAAATTAAGATTGTACGTCTGTTTTTTAATTCCTTGATAAGGATTCGGTTTTACATGTTACATATAATGATATCAATTGCAATTATATTGTATTTAAAGCATTGTAATAATTGTTTAACCAGATATTAAACGAGAAAATCTGTAACATGTTAAATGGTAAATGTAAATCCATTGGTTGATTGTAAGTTATTATTTAAATTGAACTCATTTGTACATCTCAACAAGTTGTTGAATCATAACAAATTATTATAATAGTAATACATTGTATTTACAAGAACACTTTACAGAGTAACACATCATTAAACAATATATAAAACTACACTCTTAAAATATATCAAACTCAACATTAATTACAGATTAAAAGCAGTTCTGAAAAGTGTGTTTAGATTTGTGATTTGAACATGGAAAGATTGCTGCAGTCACAGTGAGTTAACATACTGTTGTTATTCAGTTTAACACTGTGTGACTTAATGTTTTGGGTCTTTGTTGGACCACTTTGATTGGTCAATGTAATGGTGGCTGAATGTGTAGAGCCTCGAGACATATTGTTGAAATTCCACTTAATTAATAGTAGTATTCGTTTATTAGTCCCCGAGGGGAAAATGAGTTGCAGCACATCACAGAGGCATTTAAAAAGTTAAAACAATATATCACTGACAACAACATAGACACAGATAATAAGACATCGGTGACTGTTTATTATCTCTTTTGTAAAAAATAAGCTCTCGAAAGCTACTTTTTTACACAACAAGAATTGGTTTCAGTTGTCTCACCCAGTTGCGATCAACAGTGGATGTTTGTTTCCCATTAAGTACAATGATTTTGACGCCATTTATTATCGCATTGCTGATATTGTCGTTTATTCCTCTCATAAAACAAAACAAAAAAGTTATGTCAGAAGTGGGATTTGAACCCACGCCTCCATTCGGAGACCAGAAATCCCGTTTCAAGCGGAAGGGGCTTAATCCTTGAGTCTGGCGCCTTAGACCACTCGGCCATCCTGACACGATGGTGGATAGAACTTCCAGTAGCAATTTATTCAATTTACAAACCCGTATAGAAGTCAAAATGTTGCTGTATTTACCAAATAAACAAATATAAATTACTCGGTGTACGTGTTTCATTGTATGTATATGTCTTAAACTGTGTGAATGACTTGTTTGCACAATTTTCAGCGTAACATGTTGCTCGGCGGATGCTAACACTGGCCAACGTAATTTCCGTTTTGTCTACTTGCGGCGGCCATATTACACTTCCGTCTTCAAGGGTATCCGAGGCTAAAGTAACCAAGCTAGACAACATGTTCCGGTTTGCTAAAGCTGCACTCAACCTCACCGGTAAGAAAACCAGTGTTTGTAGGAATGTATGTTAGATGTGTGTATTGATGCTAAGTGACATTTTAATATCGACCATAAGTCTGACCCTCCTGTCTATGGTGGGTCACCTCGGTCAGCGTGCTAACGTTGCTAGCCAAGCTAACATTAGCATCTCCCGAAGACGTTTTACTTGTCTTGTCTTTACTGAATCCCTTGAAGTATCTTCCATAAATCAAGGTAGTTTGTACTTTAGTATTGAGTTAATCTAAAATGTGGAAGTGCTCTTTTAATATGCCAATTTACCATCGCGATGCCCAAGTAAACTGACCTGTAAGAGTTAGCATAATGATACTAAGCTGTTTTATTTATAATGTTATTTATATTTGTAAGTCAGTTATGTGAAAGACGGATTGCCTTTTAGTCTTTTCAAAAGTAACCAACGCTTAACTGTCTATCTGTTGTGCTTAAAATTAGACTTTTCGACTGTCAAATGGAAGGGTAAACAAGGACATTGTCTTCTCATCTGGCGAACTCATTTAGAAGTCGTTGAAAAAAAGGCTAAGTCACAGGCAGAGCAAGTGAAAACAGAGAAAGATTAGTCATGAACATAAGTTTCACATTAAGAGAACAATAAATATAGTATAGCCATTTGTATTGTACTTCAAACTGTAATTTATTTCAACAAAAATCAAACCTATCCTTATCTGCTGTTGTTGATATGACATGCAGAAGAGCCTGGAAAATAAAACAGACAGGAAATGGCAATCTTCATCAGAGTATCCAGATATGATTGATTTTCTGTTTTGTAACCTTACCCTGAATTTAGCCTATTTTTCATGTATTTATATGAATTTCATAGAAGCCCGAGTAATTCCATAAAGTGAATGGCACAATGAAAGGCATGACCAACTGCTTTTTAAAGATAACAACATGGTAATTGTGCAGTATATAAATGCCACTTTGTTTTGTTGTCTTCCAGGTCAGGCCGCCAGGCAGGTGAGGCACAATTCCACCGCCCAAATGAACTTCAACAAGAAGTACGGCAACATCCTGATGGTTTCTGGAGCCGGCTTCTGCGTGGCTGTGTGGTCATACGTAAGTTCTGGGATTCCAGTTACAGAACAGAAACATTAAAACAAACTTAACTCAAATGAAATTAAATGGCTGAGAAGTTGCAAATATAATAGATGTTTGCAAAGGTCCTAATTTATTGGAATTTAATTTGCTTCATCATGCAAACAAATCACACCAGTTAGCCTACCTGTAAAGAATTTGCGTTTTGCTGCTCAGAAAGTAAATAGGTACATACAACTTGTTAACCACTGGAGGGCGAACTCTGCGTTTTTATTTACTGACAAGTCTTACATTGCAATGGTATTTTATTACAATAAAAATACTTGAATATGCTCAGTTAGTTTTAACTTTGGATATACAAATGTACTTGAGTTGTTTGTATTTAATTGTGTATGTTTTCCGTTGACCAACCTCTGGTTTTGTTGTATCATTTTGATACAGAAACTTTTTCTTTATCTTACTTTTCGTGTGAACTTGCATTTACATTTTTTGAAAAATGTGCACTGCAAAGACTTACATAGTCTAATAAAAGTGTGCCATTGCCCTTAAAACTAGTGTTGTCTTTGTGCAGGTGCTGACTCAGACTGGCATCACCTGGAATCTGTCACCTGTTGGGAAGGTCATGCCCAAAGAGTGGAGAGAGGCAGAGGAGGAGTGAAGATCGGCCATGACAGACCTGCATCCCACCTAATAATAAACCTTCTCTTTGTACAGATGAATAACAGTGAATGTTTGTGTTTATTCCAACGTGTTACTTTGTCCAAATAAATTAAATGTGATTCTACTGATCATTTCCCCAGGTTTTTTGTATGCCCAACCGGTTCTTGTGACGTGATATCTCAGAAATGCCTTGATGGCATTTTTTTCAATTTGGGAAAACTAATTACAATGTGGTGAAAAGCGATCAAGGTCACTGTGGCCTCATAAACCCTGTTCAATGATTTATTTGTTAAATCTGACCATTCCACACCAATGTTTAAGGATAAAATGAAGAAGTGATGACCGGTTGACGGAGGCTTACAACGTGATGATTGTAGTTGTTTTTTAATCCACTATATACTGAACAAAAATATAAATGCAACACTTTTGTTTTTGCTCCCATTTTTCATGGGATGAACTCAAAGATCTAAAACATTTTCTATATACACAAAATAACCATTTCTCTCAAATATTGTTGTTGTTGATAGTGAGCACTTCTCCTTTGCTGAGATAATCCATCCCACCTCACAGGTGTGGCATATCAAGATGCTGATTAGACAGCATGATTATTGCACAGGTGTGCCTTAGGCTGGCCACAATAAAAGGCCACTCTGAAACGTGCAGTTTTGCTTTATTGGGGGGGGTCCGAAAACCAGTCAGTATCTGGTGTGACCACCATTTGCCTCACGCAGTGCAACACATCTCCTTCGCATAGAGTTGATCAGGTTGTTGATTGTGGCCTGTGGAATGTTGGTCCACTCCTCTTCAATGGCTGTGCCAAGTTGCTGGATATTGGCAGGAACTGGAACACGCTGTTGTATACGCCGATCCAGAGCATCCCAAACATGCTCAATGGGTGACATCAATCAACAACTTTATCAATCCCGCAAGGGGCAATTGGTTATGAGCAGCAGTTTATGTCATGTACACAGGTAGGAACATACAAGAAGAAAACACAGATACACCCGGGAGCACATATGTGTATAATTCCAATTTACACTATAAATAGTTCAAAGCATCACAATAATAAATAAATAATCAAGTTAAAAGCCTTTTCAATAATTTAAAAGTTTGAGTGCAGAAGGGATGAATGATTTAGAAAAGCGATTAGTCCTTTGATCAGGTAGAGCATATCTATGCCCTGATGGCAACAGACGAAATTCATGTGAAAGTACATGACCTGGAGAGTTCAGAATGCTCTCTGCTTTCCGCAGAATCTGTTGGTTACAGAAGGAATTTAAGTCTCTCTGTTTCATGTCCGGTGAGTATGCTGGCCATGCAAGAACTGGGATGTTTTCAGCCTCCAGGAATTGTGTACAGATCCTTGCAACATGGGGCCGTGCATTATCATGCTGCAACATGAGGTGATGGTCGTGGATGAATGGCACAACAATGGGCCTCAGGATCTCGTCACGGTATCTCTGTGCATTCACAATGCCATCAATAAAATGCACCTGTGTTCGTCGTCCATAACATACGCCTGCCCATACCATAACCCCACCACCACCATGGGCCACTCGATTCACAACATTGACATCAGAAAACCGCTCACCCACACGACGCCACACACGCTGTCTGCTATCTGCCCTGAACAGTGAAAACCGGGATTCATCCGTGAAGAGAACACCTCTCCAACGTGCCAGACGCCATCGAATGTGAGCATTTGCCCACTCAAGTCGCTTACGACGACGAACCGGAGTCAGGTCGAGACCCCGATGAGGACAACGAGCATGCAGATGAGCTTCCCTGAGACGGTTTCTGACAGTTTGTGCAGAAATTCCTTGGTTATGCAAACCGATTGTTGCAGCAGCTGTCCGAGTGGCTGGTCTCAGACGATCTTGGAGGTGAACATGCTGGATGTGGAGGTCCTGGGCTGGTGTGGTACACGTGGTCTGCGGTTGTGAGGCCGGTTGGATGTA